AATCAAACTTGAGAAAAATGTACAGAGATTTTAAGAAAAGTAAAAAGATTGATAAGATAATGACTAATTTTGCTATAATTATCACCATAATTATTGATTTAAATACAGTAATGGCTATTTCTGCATATTTTGACCTCTTTTGGGGATATTTCAAGCGGATTGTAAGTTATGTATGCAATGTGAAAATTACATTCTTAAATTTTTTGTCCACTTCATTTTTACTTTTTAATAGAATTTTCAAAAAAAATATCATGAAAATTAGCATGAATCTGGAGTCTAAGCTTCATCATTCAATGATATAAGAATAGTTTCAGATACTATTCACTGTTTTAACCATAAAACTTAAAAATTTACCAAAAGATTAACAACAGTTTTGTCATGGTCACAACAATAACCCTTTTTTTCTGCGAAAAGTGAGTCTAACAATAACATAGCCAACCAATGGTACATTAAATTTAAAATATGTAGCTACATGTATGATATCTAGAAAAGGTGTGCAGTTTAAAACTATCAGGCATGGCAATATTTTTTTAGCAATATGATAAATATGTTATTGTATTATCCAATATTTATTAGGCTACTTGGTAGATTTTTTCCTCAAACTTCAAATAGTTGTTCTTTTATGATGATTATTCCCAATATCACATACAGCATTGTTTTAACTCACAATTGTTACAAACAAGAGCTGTCCGTAAGACAGCGCGCTCGACTTTTTTATTGCTTGCCAATAAAAAAAGTTTTTGCAGTAAAAGGCAATACAAGAATCTCTGTATTTTTAAAGTGAACAATGGCCATGAGCATTAAGATATTTAGTGAAGAATTATTTTACTGAATTGTGTGATACCCTTGAACACTGCAGCAAAGTTTGAAATGTTTAAGTCAAAAGCAATATCTCAAAGGGTTAAGGCAATAAGTGGATTTTACCCATATTCAATGTATTTTCTAAGTCAAAAAGGGGCATAATTCTGTCAAAAACCTTGACAGAGTTATGTCCTCTTGTCTGTTGATGAAGGTCGTGATGGTAAACAAGTATGGTCAGTTTCAAAGCAATACCTCCAATGGTTTTGAAATAAAGTGAGGTGGTACAAAAAAATTAACCAAGCTCAATACACTTTCTAAGTCAAAAAAGGGCCATAATTCTGTCAAAAACCTTGACAGAGTTATGTACTCTTGTCTGTAGATGGAGGTTATGATGGTGAACAAGTATGGTAAGTTTCAAAGCCATACTTGTAATACTTCTGAAATAAAGTGGGGTGGTACGAAAAACTTAACCAAGCCCTTACGGAATTCACTTATAAGTCACTTATAGGCTATTTTATAGGTGAATTATACTTCACTTAGTCAATTTACCTATAAGTCAAGTATATGTATTTTAAATGCAAATTAGATGTAAGTGCAGTATATGTCTGGCATTTTGACATATAAGTGAAGTATAAGTTATATATAAGTCACATATATGTGACATGTCAGTCAAAGATATACTCAACTTATCAGTAACATATAAGTGACTTATATGTCTCATATAAGTGACTTATATGTTACATAAAGGTGACTTAAGATAAGTCACTTATAAGTAACATATATGTCACATGTAAGTCACATATATGTTGCTTGATGACAAAAAAGCTAGAATGAAAATAAAAGTTTAGAAATTTAATTTCAAAAATGTTTATTAATTTATATTTATTTCTAGCAGCAAGTTTTTGTAGGTACTGGTTTTCTTGGAATCAAAAACTTAATTTATATAATTATTTTGCTGGAAGTCTGTTGGTGAGGAACTGTTCAAATCATAAATTTGTTCAAATGTTTCTGATTATTTAAACTACTATTTCTTTTATTGATGTCTTTTTCAGTCCTCTGATTCTGTTTCCTTGGAAAACGTTCAATTTGGCTGTGTTCACCTTTTAAAAAGATAAAATTCATAATTAATTAAAAAAAGACACGGAAAAAAAAATTGTGTACTTTTTTTGATATGCAGTTAAATATTTCATTTTTTTATATCATCACACTTATATTGCTATTATTGCAAATATACTAAGTTACACAGGTATCTCATTTTAGTGCACAAATCACCAGTGTTGTTTAAGAATTGCTAAAAGTCTCTATAAGAATTGATTAACTGCACTATTTGCAACAACATTTATTATGCTTTTTTCTGGGAAAGATTTAGAGCAGTAAGTATAGGGAATAAAAATACCTTTTCAGACTCAATACTGCATATCATTATTCACCTGGCATCTCAAAGTAAGGACTGGTCCCACTAGCCTGCAATGTATGTAAAATATAATATAAGATTTCTCTATTGAAAACAACAATTATAAATGATAAATGATAATGATAACCCTGTCTTATTCAGCTGCATCAAACTACTGATTGTACTATTTAGTCCTAATAATTCAATTAATTTGACTATTGAATCTAGATTTTAATCAATTACAAGTATTAGTTAATCTAATGTATGAAGCTTAGAAATAAAAACAGCCTTGATCTCTCAAATTACAAATTTTAGTTTGCTGCCATCCTACTTTGCTTGTTTGATATATAACCTGTATCTGCAAAAGTATTTACCTGATTTTGTTGTATATCTTCTTGTCCAAGGTGATTCTTCTTCTTGTCATTCTTATTTACCATAACTATACTTAAACATCTTATAAACAAAACAATATCTCTAAAATTCCTAAAACATCAAGTAGATTCGCTGTGATTTCCACCAGCTTGCTAACCTAAAATGTTTTAGACTTACAACTGTGTGTCTGGGCAGGTCCAATATTATGTAAAACAGGGTAAATCCAAAAATCAAAGCACTCATCATTTCTATCTTGCAATCATTGAATGTGAAAAAAAATTATCAAATAACTAATAGATATGTAAATTTTAAAAATCATTATACATTTTTGAAAAGAAAATGCAATGTCCTTTTTCACAAATTCAGGATAGGAAATGTTATCTTTCCCCAAAATAATCACATGGAACAGTCTGATTTGTAGGAATGACCAGTCAGAAAATTAGTCATGCACAGATGGTGTCAAGGCAGGTGGCCAGTTTTATCAGACCTCTGATCTGTGTGGTGTAAAAAATCAGTGGATGTAGAAAATATAAGCAATCATCAGGCATATTGGTTCCTTGATTTTATTTAGATTAAAAGGGCAATATAAATGAGTTTATTTCAAGCATTGCTTTTTTTTATTGTTTAAATATCTAAAATACACTAGGCCTAAATGTCTTAAAAATAACACTTATATACTAAAAAAATACAGCTCTTTTTCTTGTTAGAATACCTTACTTTAGCAAAATTAGGTCTGTAAGAAGTACAGTAGGTAAAAACGTATAGATTCCAATGTCTGTTTCAAGTTTGAAAAAAAAAAACAAGAGTAGAATTATGCCTTGGGTGACTTTTATGTGAAATATTTTCCTTGTGAAAAGAAATGACATGGAATTTCATTTCTGTCCATGGTAGCCTAGAAATCACTGATTGAATGCCATTTCTGTCCCAATTCAGCACAGAATCTGTGCCAAAATTTTTTACAGGTAATATACTTAATTGATAATAATTTTTCCTATTGTCTTATTTAAAAAAAACCCAGCTGTGTTCAAAAATTAATAAGCAACATTTAAAAAAATCTTAATTGTGATTTAGGTCTTAGATTATAGTATTTTAAATTCTGAGTATTTTGATACCCATTGTGTTAAAGCAAAGAATTACAAATCAACTTCAATAAATTTTATCAATTTTTCTCATGTTTTTGTACTTAGTAATTTTTTCAGCTTTGCTCAGTAATAAAAAGTCTCGCAAAAGTTCTAAGTTTTCACTTATACCTAACATAGAAACTGGTTACCTCAAACTTGACCAGTATAAGGCACTTATAGGTGACTTATATGTGACTTGTATGTTGGGGGAAAAATGGCCGAAAGTGACTTATATGTAGCATATACCTATAACTGACTTAGACAGGTTTTTAGGTAATTTATAAGTGACTTATATGGAACTTATAGTTCTCTTATAGGTCAAGTATAAGTTGCATATAAGAAACATATAAGTCACTTAAAGTCATTTTGGTAAGGGAGGTGTGACGCCGACGCCGGGGCGAGTAGGATAGCTCCCCTTTTCATAGAAAAGTCGAGCTAAAAATGTATCCCCTTTTGATCTTTCATATTTTGCACTGTCTTTGTTTTAATTATATTAATGAGCTATTATAAGTCAATTATTTGTTAATAATCAAATTAAGGTACACATTAATCTGTTTTTAGGGTATAATTTGAATCAGTTATTTATATATTAAATATTTCTACATGTTAAAAACTTATACATATATTCCAGAGTTTAACCGTTAACCCAGTCTGAATTAAAGTGATTTGTCTATGCTACCAGTACATTAAAGACAGGCCGGCCTAAAACATTCTGTGTAGTCTGACAAGGCTCTTTACTGTTGGTAACTCAGATTTATTGTATCCCAGAAATCCTTAACCAAACAAATCCAATACAAAAATTTAACAGGTTAAAGTGAATTGGTCTATTATGGATTAATGGTTGATTTGGACTGAAGCATTATAAATAATTATGTTGATAGTAATTTAACTATCATATTTGAAAACAAAATGTGAAAGAATTATATCTGGATTTTGTTGGTAAGCTCTAGATACATGTTCCAATATGACATATAAATATATGCCAGAATATGACATATCATAATCAATAAATGACAGATAATAAAGTGTGCTAGAACAAAATATTATTATTCATCAAATAATTTTTGTATCTTAATACTTAATCCCTTTAGAACTCACTAACAACGTTTTTCTTTCCAGAAATTCTTATATAAAAATACCCAAATGGTACATTTTTATTGTTTTCATCAATATTTGATATACTTATGGAAAATAAGACCATTGTAGACAATTCCCACTTTAAGTGTTAATAAGAAAATATCAGTCATAGCTTTAAACAAAAGCGATAATTGTAACCTACATATGGATAAAAAAAAACATAAGGAAGTATAATAAACACAAGTAATGATTTTTCTTTCCTTTAGAATTATCAATCTGAATATGAAAATTTAAAAAGTTGTTTATATCTATACGGCAGATTCATGTTTACATCCTGCGTTAAGACTATATTGGCTAGAATGTCTGGAGCCAGGCCTGGAGTTATACCCGTATCCTGATTGTGATAAACTATCTATTGAGTCTTTACGTGTCATTGACTGAGAATGGGTTCCTTCTGAATGCCCATCTGGATCTGGCATCATTGAATGAAAGAAATTTCTTACAACAAAACTTTTATCTGACTCATTTAAAGAACTGGAATCAGCGTCTATTTTACGATTTTCTTTCTTTTCACGATAATAGTCACGATCGCCACGTCCACTTCTTGGTTCTCTGTTTAGTTTTTTTACGCCCTGGACAGCTTTCAGTTCTCGATGTTTCTTTTTCTTCTTTTTTTCAACATCTTCTGTCTCGGCAGCTTCGTAACACACCAAGGGGTCACCACGCTTGTGTCTTCTATATAAGTAACAAGCTACTATAAAAATGATGATCACTATGACAAGCAGACCTGCTAGAACTCCTACAATGATTCCAACAGGCGCAGATGAACTTGACCCAGTTTTCACACAATCTTCGATGTCATTTTGCATGAGCGAGGCAATGTCACGATTAGCTAGATTAGAAGGCATTTCACATTTTGGCGAAGGGCAGCTTGTTCTAAATCCCATTTGAGGCTCTGCTGAACAACGAATAATATTTGAACTCTGGGGATTTTTCAACCAGTTAAGTAGTGGCTTTATCATACAGTTGCATTCCCATGGATTATTTGCTATGTTAACATATTGCATATACATCGACTTTTGCACAAAACTCTGAGGAAGATATTTGAGCCAGTTATTTGATATATCCATTTGTCGTATAGTAAAATCCTGCTGAAAATGCTCCTCTCTTAGCTCCTTTATGGCACATGATGATAAATTCAGAGTGTTTAATTTACTCATTCCATTAAAAAGTGTTAGTGGAAGATTAATCAGTGCATGATTGTCATTCAGTTTTAAATCGTAAACCTCCGATGATATAGGCTGGAACACAAATTCTGGAAGGATATGAATTTTGTTATGCGACAAGTCAAGTTTGCGTACACCTTTCAAATACATGAATGTATTTGGGCTTATAGTTCCTATTAAATTCTTAGATAAATCAAGTATTTCTAAATCCATATTTGCAAATTGTCCATCGTTAAGAGCAGCTATCTGATTTCCTTGAAGTGTGAAGTTTCGTAATTTATGAAGTGATCGGAAACCATCATTATTAGGAAGTGACTGTATTTGATTGTACGACAGGTCAAGAGTATTCACAGAGCTTATTGCAGGGAAAAGGTCATTTTCTAGCGTGCGTATACCACAACCACCTGCTAGCAATCTATTGAGACTTCTCAAGCCCTGGAACGATTGACCGCGAAGATTTCTGATGTTTTTATTTCCAGCGATATTAATTTGGTAAACATTTGACTGAGATGCAAATAATCCAATTGGTAGATCACTTAGTCTGTTGTTACTTAAATCAACGGTTTGTAAGTAAAATAATGATTTGAAAATATCTGGACTTGATATCTGCTGCAGAATGTTATCGGACAAATCCAAAATTTGCAATCCAGTAAGTGCGTCTAAAGCATTGTGCTGTATTTCTGATAATTGGCCATTAGTAAGTCTAAGATGAATGAAAGATTTCACTGGCATTTCTGTAAAATCGCTCTCCTGTACATTGTAAAATGTGCCTTCGGTAATCTCTAATTTTCTTGTGTCTTTTGGGATTTCTGGGGCAATTGATTTCAGGGATGTTACTTGTGTACACGAAACTGTCCGATATTGGGCACAGTTACAGTTTGTAGGACAAGTGTACACCCAGGAACTCGTTTGTAGGACACTCCAGGCAACAGCTAGTAGTAATCTCTGTAACTTGTTCATTATATCTGAAATGAAAAAAAATGAACATAATACAATTTGATGAACGATATACATGTATAACTTTGTATTATATTGTTTAAACCTTTACCCAGGGTTTTCCCTGGCCAAGGTTTTGGTTTAAGGTCAGGACTGCGATTTTTCAACAGGAGTGCATGGTAAGGACCCCAAGCAATATCATACGCCAACCCGGGGTGTCCATTTAAAGTTCCAAACTTTGGAAGTCTGAGACTACAAAATGTCTGATTCTATATAACTAAATATAGCTACAAGACTGTCTAGATCCTTGTCCAATATCGATTTGCCAGATGTGATTTTGTCTAATAAAATTCAGTATTGAACTCAACAATATATTGAAAAACCTCAAAATAGGCATGAAATAGATTGAAAGGAAGAAAAAAAGTATTTCATAAAAAAGAATTCATAGAATAATATCAAAATATACATGTTGGCTATTTTAATTGTTTAATAGATGCAGTTCTGAATAAATTTTTAAATCTCTAATTATAATTACACTTGATTCTTAAATTTGTTGTCACCCAAACAAATATGATCTGATGATAATGATAAATTTTATACATAACAAATTAATGTAAACATGAATTCAAAGTTGTTTGGTGTCAGAAGAAGAATTTAGATTGACTAGATTACCCGATTACTGTTGTTATTTTATGGTGTGGTTTATATTAGAATGCATTTCAAGCTTCTTAAAAAATGTCCCCTTAAGGCATGTATCATTTTTGACACTATCTTTGCCTTTGTTTTCTTGTTTGTCTTTGTTCTTATGTTATACTTTACACTGTAAATAACTTATCTATGTTTATTTTGTATATTATTTGTCTAGTGAACAATTATTTTTTACATACCTGTGTAAATGTTAATATCTCCAGATAAAGAAATATTTTACACATTTCAGTTAATTCATGATGTAACACAGTATTTTATGCAGGTAAAATGTGTGACACACAAAACAATTTTACGTTAAACAGTTTCAACAGTTTCGTTTCACATAATTGTCAGCCATCTTCTGCCTTTAAGTCCACAAATAGGTCACTGTTTTCATGTTTATCAGTGATCCAGATAAAAACCGAAATACCTGTATGTTTTCAATCATTAAACCTTGAAATTTACTGATATCGGATTTCTACCCCTTTATGTCATAATGAGAGAGTCCTATAATCAAGGTAAGTCAAGTATGACCAAAATAGTGAAAGGTCATACCTGGACTGTTTCATTATGGCTGGGTGGGTGTTAGGTATTGAATATTTTTGTGTTTACCTGTGACATGATAGGTAATGTGACTAATTTAGATAAGGCCCTATGAATTAATTTGTTACTAATTATATAATGGAATGGAATTCATGAAAATAACTGTAGGCTATTTATAGTCCGTATGGTAATGAATAGTTTGGTTGACCGTGAAAAATGATGACAGCCTATAAGATGTGCATGAAATAAAGCATGAAATAAATGTACATATAGTATTCATCAGTGTAATGTAAGCTTATTATAGGTAGTAATTTATGCCCAGTGTTAATTGGCCTATATTGTATTGACAAAGATTCCAATGTGGAATTTATGATACAAATTAAGGTATTATTTCTGATTTTGATTAACTTTAATAATTAAATCTCCAACAAAATAAAATGTTCATACCAAACTCAATTACAATTTAAAAAAATGCGTATATTATCTGATTATATCACATTAATTGGGTTCATTTGTGTTTGAATATATTAATTATTTATATAAATTAATTCAACTTAATTAATTCAACTTAATCACCAAAATAATGCTTATGATTATTGCATATTTATGAGTGAATTATTAAATATGAATATATATATGAATTTCCATTAAGTTATAACTTATAGTCATGCTGGATATAAAAAAATAAATTGCCTGATAAAGTAAAAACAGTTGAGGAGTGGTTTTACATAAATAGAATGTATTATTTATAACCAGTACTTTTCAAAAAGATATTAAGCCAAGACTTATAATTCATTCAGTGTTGAAACACATCTATTGTCTGTGATAGTAAATTTTTAGACAATTACAAATTGAATTGTGTCAGCTTGCAATAAATGATACAGTGATGGAAGTGCAAGTAGCTTTCTTTTAAAAGTTTCAATAACCCATACAGTCATATGGGTTTCATTACCTTGTGCTGTAACCATAAATAAATTTTAAATTTTAGTCCTTTTCAAAATTGCATAAAAATCCATAGATTTAGTATGGTATGTAGCTATTAAGTAACTCAATATAATATTCTTCTGTACATTTATCTAACAACAAATTGGGTTTGGCCTTTATTACAATATCATTTTTTCCACATATTAAGTGGGCTAGCTTTATTGTGTATTTACTACAGGTATAGTCATTGAATCATACATGATATAATGCATCCATGATTTTGAAAGGTGTATTACCAATATTTATACATCTTATAAGATTGGCTATTTTCGGTATTTACCATACTTGTATATGTATGGATTTAGCTACATTGTAGTTCACTCTAAATAGCACTATTTGAATGACCCTGGATTTAGTAAGGTATGAATAAGTTATAAGTATCAATTTTATTGTCAAATAATGAATTTTTAATTTTAAACAAAGTTTTTAAATCTTGCAAATTGTTTCATAAAAAACAGTCAATTTAAAATTTGTTGATTTGATAATATCTTATGCTACGTTTTCAAAAAAAAAAAAATTCCGTTAAAAGACTTTTGTGCATGTTTTAAATGCTTTAAAAGTTAATCATTTCCTATTTTCTTGTTCTTCTGGTCCCCACCTTGAGAGTTTTTGTACTGTATGCAGTTCCTGTTCTACATCTTTGGGAGGGGTTTGACAGAAAAGGAAGCTAGTTATTTGCTGTACTTAGAGTTGCATGCTGGTAGCAAATACATTAACTCTTTCACCATTTTAGGCCTGCTGATTTTATTCATGCAACAAATTCAGGTTTTCATAGTTTTATTATATTGCTTTAATGATAACAACTGTTTGCTCTTCAAGTGCACTGACCAATCTCCTTACAGTATAACCTCAGCAGAGCAGACCGTTTGGGAGATCAATGTTTTGGTTGTTGTTTAGAGGTGTTGCTGTAACACAGGGTTAAAATATAGTGGAAATCTTTACTTTAGGAAGAAATGATACTTTTGACTGAAAGACATGTACTATTGTACTATTTTGCTCTATTGAGGACGTTTCTGCAGGGGTTAAACTGTATTTAATGTAGTATAGGGTTAATTTTACCTGCAAGATAAGCATGAAGTCTGGCCATGCAGGCTCTATATTGTTGGTACTGTAGTTTGATTAATTTTGTTTTAATTTGGTACTGATTACAGCTAAATTACTAATATCTAGTTCTACTCAAATAAATCTTGAACCACATACTTAAAATCATTTCATAGCAGGACGACAATATTAGAAGGGATAATTAAATTTAATGGTATCTTATTTTGACTCTATTTTTGTTGTAATGTCATATATACCTATCCTATTTACTAGTCAAATTCATTATTATAGTTACTACCTTTAAATTTTATTTCAAGGTGGACATTGTAATAATTTTGTCAAGCAGAGCCAATGAAAACATTTTGTTTACACTCATTAGAGTATTATAACCTATTTCAATAAAAATTTCAGTTCTTCCCAAAGTAAGAATTCACAATTAGTATAAATGCAACCAGCACTTAACAGCAACACAATTTTTAACTCAGACACAAATGTTTGGTTTAAACATATTTATTTAAGCTCGATTGCGGAACAAGTTCTTGCAACTTATATTAATCACTTTCAAATCCTCTTCCTGGAACCAACCAGACAAAAAAAAATTTCAATCTAAAAGGTTAAAATAATCTTTTACAGAAAGATGGGACTGGAAAATATTTTCTCATGATTTATGTTCCATTTGATAACAGTCTAGACCAATAAATATTGTGCAAAAATTTCAGAGAATTCACTCAATCAGTTTTTATCCAGAAGTGCAAAATGACCATAAATTGAAAAGCTTTTCACTTTAATAATACTGAATTAAATAGCAAACATGTATGATTTTCAATTGAATTCTTTATGATCTTTTGTATATCTTAGACTGTTTAAAGAGTTTCAGGTGATGTATGTAAGAAAATCAAATTTTATGTTTTTTAGTCTTTTAAACCTCAGTAGAGTTACTTGAATCAGTGTTTCTTACAGTGAAAAAATAAGCCTATTATATTCACAAGTATCAGATGAAAAAAAAAGAACAGGAGAAAAAAAATGAATTTTCTTAAGATGTATAAAGAAGAAATATGACTACAAAAACTTGATTATTGGAATTTCACTGATCATTTATTCATGTCACTTGGCCTAACTATTCTGTAGGAATACCAAGAAGTTTATTTTCAATTTTTTAATGATTTTCATGAAATGTAAGAAAAAAGAAACAATATTTTACAGGTTTACGCAGATATTTCATTTGTGTGTTTATTTAAGGTAGTATTTATATTTTCAGTGAGAGTCAAATGTAGAAACATTCAAGCATAGATATATCAATTTGGCAGAGTATAAGGTGTTGAGGGGGCAAGTTTGAGGAAAGATTTTGTCACAGGTGAAAGCAGCCAGTCCCTGGTTATATCAGAGGTCATAATGGAGGATGTCCTTATCAAGCTGAATGATGGGAAAACCAAGGATTTTGAACCATTAGTTGTATTAGAGTTTGCTGTGAATACCAAGCAAGCAGCTATAGAATGGATGATAGCTAAACTACAGGCATCTAGCAGTGAAAATGGTGCTGAACTTTCTGTCACGGCCATGGTGATGCAACATAACCAGGTAAATATTTCCCTTCTTTGATATGATATTTAAGAGACATGATATGGCAGTAAATAGAATGCTAGGGAATATTATACGTATAGGGAATGTAACTTGAAATACATATAAATGTAAAGAGATATATATATATATATATAATTTCAATGTTATGAAATAATTTGGGCACAGATAAAAATCTAAGGAACCTGATATATATATTATCACTGCGATGGAAAATTATATGAAATAGATACCATAATAGCAGTAATATTTCAAGTTCCAATTTATATATATATACATTGTATTTATCTCATTAATATCAGAGGCTTCAATTACATAATTTATGTACACATATGTTAAATACATGTAGTAACTCCTTCTTATGGCATTTGAAATACATGTATAATAAACTGTTCTACAGTGAGGTTCAACTGCAGGTATAAGAAAAGGAAGTATATCAGTCTGTTGAAAGACTAAAATCTCTTTCACATCCTTGGGAATTACCAAAATTTTCTGTAAATAAACCTCAATATTGATAACAATCTGATTAAACTATATCAATATCCTTTTATTTAGTTTAATGTGGCAAGTTTATATTTGAGATTTATGTAGCAATTTGAAAATGATAGAAATTTTCATCATCATCTAGTATAAATAATATCTTAACATATCTGTCGGCTTTTGTTTCATCATCTTGCAGTTAATGTCATAAAATTTGGTGTAACATTTTAGATGAAGTAACAAAATTCTGAAGTCTAAGATTATTATGTATTATGAACCAGTGTTTGGTATAGTATATGAGCCGCGTCAAGACAGAACAAACATAATGGGTTTTCAACCAGCATGGATCCAGACCAGCCTGCTCATCTGCACAGGCTGATCAGGATCCATACTGTTCGCTTACCAACTCATTTACAAGTAGAGAAACTGATAGTGAACAGCATGGATCCTGATCAGACTGCCTATTGTGTTGGTTTTGTCATGTCACAGCTCAATTATAATTTCCAACTGTATGACAGAGTATTTTCCCCTCCATCTATTGTACTGTCATTATCCCTGTCACTTTAGTGCAGTAGTAAGTTAACTCCAATTAGATTATATAAGGAGTTAAACTGTTATTGCACTAAAGTATTAAAAAGTATTCAATATACAGTCTGATGCATTGTACATACAATATACCATACAAAGTAAACTACGGTATGAATTTCGGCATTTTAAATATTAAAAATAAATTTAAATCTAAAAGCTCATTTGAAAAATTTTACTATAAAATTTAATTCGAAAATTATGTTTTTTACCATATGTTTGTATAATGTCATAAAATCTTGGCCCAAGTACATATACATGAGATAGTAGACAATTCTTGAAAGTTTTTGTACATTCATCACAAAGTGTCCCTTGTTTTCACTTATATAACTTGCTTGTAAATGTTTTAACTATCTTACACCTCCTGCTTAAATATGTACAAGCTTTACTTAATCTTAAAATTTATAAGCATATAATATCTTGCCCAGCATAATGTTGTATCAATCATACACAGCCTTTAAGCTTGAATATATAGTCAGGAAACCAAACCCTTAACCTGCTGTAACCAGAAGTGCATCAGTCTTTAGCCACTAGTACAGGTTAGGGGCGTCCATGGCCGAGTGGTTAAGGTCATTGACTTCAAACCACTTGCCCCTCACCACTCGGGTTCGAATCCTGACAGGGACTTTGGATTCTTTCATGTGAGGAAGCTATCCAGCTAGCTTACGGAACGGCGGTGGTTCTACTCAGGTGCCTGTTCGTGCCTGAAATAATGCATGGAAGGGCACCTGAGGTTTTCCTCCACCAGCTGGAACGGCGCGATATGACCTATACTGTGTCAATGTGACGTAAAACCCAAAACAAAAAAAACAAACAAAACAGATCCAGGCCATGTTGAGCTACTCTGCAGCTTGACCAAGCTCTATACTGTTGGTTGCCCATTTTTGTGTTTTGATATTCAGAAATACTGTAAGGCAGCACACCTCCAAATTTGTGCTTATTTTCTTGAAAATTTTGAAAATGTTTTTCAAAGCACTAAACAAAGAAAGCACGCAAACAAATTTACACATTGCAAATGGCACTTACAATCCATGTAAATTACCAAACAGAGGTCAATTAATATGCTAAAATAACCCTCACTGCAATAAAACACGCAGTAGAAATATGGTGATAAATACTGCAAAATTGATTGTAAATGATTGTATGAATATTGAATCTTTTTACTTTTCTTAAAATCTTAGTACATTATTCAATAATTTTTTATATTTTCTTGAAATATTTTTGCATATTGTAATGCTTATTATGAGTATTATGATGTTCTTCCAACGTCATAACATTTACTAGTACATTGTAATCAATTTATGCCAAATTAGTTTTTTTTCTCAAGATTTTATTCTTGTTATTTTAAACAAAATGTTATGCCATAGATTGAAAATAATGTATGTGTTTTAATTAAGTGCGTTCGTATGAGTAAAAACCAATTATCAAAGTAAACAGAATTTATACTATGTTCTTGTATTTGTTACAGGAGAAGTCTGTAAGTACGGTGCATGGGAGTGTGTTTCCCACAGCATACTTTATATATAGATCATACAGTTATAGAAATATATATGTATAAAGACAACTAACATTTTGTAACATGCCTCATTAATTGGTACATAATTATAGATTATAAATAGAGCTTACAGTTCAATATGTTAATAATGCTCTGGTGGGTTCGAATGGCTAAATATTGCCGTGATCCGGTGGGGAAACTACAAGCATCGCAGCATATGTATAAATTAGTAATTTAGGTATTTTCAGTCTCAACATTACAGCACATGTACAAGTAATTATCATTCTGAAGTCTTAAAATCTGTAAGTTACAATCCTCAAGTTACTGGAATTTAACTAGTGTATTAAAAATCATTTGAAACTAAAACGTTATGTCTTGATCGAAGCATCTTCTATTGTCAACTGTCCTAATTTTACGTGGTGTCTGCTTGTGCCCAAAATAATGCAAGGATTTCCCTTGGAAAGTCGCCATATGACCTCTACTTTGTTGATGTGTCGTAAAACCAAACCAGGCCAAAAAATTAATATAAAATAATATTTTAGTTAAAGAACATAAAGTTTTACTTATAATAAAAATGTTATTTAAAAAATATAGTTATACTTATTCTTAAATTATTCAATTTATTGTGTAAATTGTTCTTGAATATGGTTGTTCATAATAAGTTAAGTAAAGCCTAGGTCACAAATAAGAAAATGCCGCCGGGCGGCGTCTGTTTCTCCAAAAAATCGCAATATCGGCCGGCGTCCGTCCGGCGGCAGTGACTATCGGACGGCAGCAGCTGAAAATTTTGCTCATCGGGCGGGCGCATTCGAGTTATAAGTAATACTTAAAAGCTAACGGCGGCCGGACGATAATTTTTGGGGTCACTGAGTATAAATATCACCGAGCGGACATCGCTTGGTCGCCAGGCGTCGACCGGGCGATGATTTTTTGATCGGGCGATTTTTTGTTCTACTAAACAGCGTCCGATTTAAAAGGCGTCCGGGCGGACATCGGCCGGGCCCCGCCCGGTGCCTGAATAGAGACAAGTAGTCAAACGATTATCGCCCGATACCTGGACGATTCATGTACAGGCACCGGGCGGTCATCATTTTGTCATCCGGCGACCGGGCTGCTTGTGTTTGCTTTAATTTCAGCTTGAAGAAGTTGTAATTGCCTCAAAAATATATTTGTGAATTTCTTTTGAATACTAGTACACATGAATGTTTTCTTCAATGTCCACGCGAATGTCTGATTGATTTTCGCCTTCTACGGTCTCGATACTGGCCGTTGGTGACTCGTTGTCAACAACACGGACCAACTCCTTGGCCTTCCCCTTGGCTTTGACAGCTGACTTCTTTGCTGGCATAATTACAACTGGCGGATTTATCTAGGATGTCATTAAATGTAGTCATTGTCGCCTGGCGCCCGCGCGGCAACCATCCGATTCACTTTTAAAACGCACAGGCGCCGTACGGACATCGGGCGGCGACCTCCTGATCCGGTAAAATCCACTCGGCAAAAAATCGCCCGACGACTGTTTCATTCATGACCACGCAAGGTATCAGATTTAAAATCGCCCGGCGTTGCAGACATCAAAAAATCTGCCGATTTTATAAAAATCGTTTAATCGGACGGCGCCCGTTTTATTTGTGACCTAGGCATAACAGTTTCTATAACTTATACTAAAAGAAGGTCATTTTTATATCTACACCACTCATTTTAGAATTTTAGTTTGTCGTGATTTGCTATTATTCCATACTGGTGTTTCTTATTATTGTGTTCTATAAAGACTTTGGTAAACAGTATATTTGCAGCTAATGTGTTGAGAATGTATTTTGTTCGCCCTAGTATTTTTTTAGATTTTCCCATAGGAGTGTTCAGTTTTGTCCAATTCATTTACCCCTTTATGAAAACACTAACAAAGTTTGTATGATTCTACTACGCATTCATCATGTTTTAGAAAGTTTTAGCATGATGTTGCTCTGTTACATTTTGAAATGGTTACAAGTTGTGCCTATGTCAATTTCAACAAGATTTAATTATGTAATGATTTATTTTTTTCAATGGGGGAAAGGTTAAGCCATTTTTGTTTAATCTGTATATACATCCTGTTTTGAACAGCTCAACTATTCAAAGAATATGGATTTGTTCTCTTGCTTCCAAGCTATATGCTAATCAAGAAAAAACACTTAGGCCATTATTTTTTGATATTTCGGTTTACTGACCCGCCGCATCCATTTTTTGGGAAAATGAAAAAAAAAAAATCAGCCCCCAAAAAAAAAGTACTCAAAAAATGCGCTAATCAAGTTTAGATCTAAATGTTCTATGGGAGATTTATAGAAGTCCAACTTATTAGACTTGTCAAAGAAACGTCGAGATAATTTTTGACGGCGATGTATTTTGCATGAAGAAAAATGTCTGCAAAATGAGTTAAACCATTCTCGCCAAATTAATTAGGTTAATATCTATATATTTAAAATATAATTCATGTATGTATGTATGTATAAAATCATATGTTTTGAAGGTCCAATTGTGTAGAAATGTCAAAGAAAACAACTACAAAAAAAAGAAGCCAAAATACGCAAGTTATCACTTTCATGGAACAGCGAGAGAAATCTTATTCAATGAGAATCAGATTAAATTAAATTTAAAAAGAAATATAGTGACAAGATCACTATTTACAGATTTAACAAAAACAATAGTCTTTAAAAGGAGATTAGATATGGGTTTCCTTTCAAACAAAATAAAAAAAATGCACTTACTATTAATAATTTACATGTCAGTAATTGACCGCTAATTTTCCGATAGAAATATTTTTCAACTTGATTATGTCTATGTCTCTGACTTGGACAATAATTTAACATGTGTAATCTTTTCTTGACAGGTTTTTAAACTTCTGTTATATAAATAAATGAGTGCAAGTCAGTTGAGTTTCGGCACCTTTGATGATTCGGATTAAACAACTGGGACTACATGTGTGTGAACATCAAAGATTTACCGACTCTTTTGAAGGGTCGGCGAGGTCATCTCGTGTGTATATTAAATAATAGCAACATGATATTTTATCAATTTGTGGATGCTATTTTGTTGTTTTGTGTATTTATAAGCACTGTGGAATTTAGACAGTCGGTCGTAAGTACAACATACGCATCACATTTATCAGAATGGGAATGGACTAATCATAAGAGAAGGGATACTTATAAAGTATCTCACCTTCCAGACATGAAGATAATTATGAAAACTTTTTTCTTTTTTTTTTTTCCCTCCTCCGACCCTACCTTTTTTTGGAAAAAATCAGTAAACCAAAATATAAAAAAAAAATGGCCTTAAGTTTGGATTGATGAAATTACACTTTGATATCTGATATTGAGATATTGCATGCAAGTTTTTTCTCCTTTTATACTATTAAAAGGTATTTATGATGTGTTTTCCGGGTCATAACTTGGGTTACTAATATCAAGAGCATGAACGTTATATTTGATGATTTAGATTTCCCTGTTTTTACTTTATTGATACATTAATTGATGTAAAATTCCTGCAATGCTGACTTGAATTCATTATTAGAAATATATTTCTGGTTGTGTTAAACAGCACTTAGATACAACTAGATCAAGCATTGTTTTTGGAGAAATGCTAAAATGCATTATTGAAGTTTTGTATTTTGAATTGGTGAGTATTGAAATTGCATGACTTGTAATTATGATGAAAATGTATATATGTACATTCTGTTTAAGTAAAACACCTTAGAAAATTTTGAGAAAAATAATTTGTAGATATTAATGATTAATAATATTGCACATTTTTGTGATATTGTCAATAAATAATGGATAATTGTGACATTTATACGATCTGTTTGATACACACAGCTGCTATTGTAAATTTATGATGTAATTTTCATTTTAGCTGTATTATACATTTATTATAGTAATGCATGCCTATAGAAACATACATGAGGGTAAATTATAACTGAAATCACAGCGGTTAGGTATTAATACCACAATGCAATATAATACCACAAAGTAATACAGTTATTTCTATTGCATTATATAATAAATTCATTCAGGACACATACTTAACAAAAGCGTTCTATAACAGAATTATACATATAATTACAATGTTTAAATTTATAGGTCATTGTTTCCATTCTTTATAATTACATGTATATCATACAAGTTTCAGTCATTGAAAAACATTGTCATTGTGGTAAAGTAAATATGGGCCCAACTCAATAATTAATGTTCTTATCTCTCATAGCTCCCATTATTGAAATTTACATTTAGTGATTTGTCTCAAGTACACATTTAACTTTGTTAATTTCCCCTTGTTACTGAGTGGTTATCTTTAAGGGGTGAAGCATCAGCATTGCAAGTCACCTTGTATTTCTGCGTGATCGTAAGACAACTAAATGGGTTTGAATAACTGGAGTCTATTCATCTTTGTGCTCAAGCAGATGAGGTTATTTTGACCTCTGGTGTTGCTAAGTTTGTAACACCCGAGGTTACCCAAAATAATTGTTTATGTTTCGGTGCCATTTATGACCTTAATTGTGTTGGTGCTTCATAAAACCATACAGAAACAAAACAAAATAACTTTGTTATCAATAATACAGGTAACATTGTTGTTCTCATGATGCATAGATCTATAGGAATTGTGTGTAACTTCAAAAGTCTTGTGTTAAATCAAAGCCATTATCAACATTAGAGCCAAAGTCACTTAAGTGATGGTTTGAGAGAATTATTGTACAACAAACTACTGATTTGTAACCATTACCTACCCATTACCTCAATATAATGTTGCTGTTAGATTATGGTATATAGAAAAGTTTACTAGAAAACTAACACGGTTATAATTTATGTAATGTTACAGTGGTTATAAATATGCATGAGGAATAGTTAGATATATTTATTTTAAATGTTTATTGTTCCCGTCTGAGTGCATTTTAATAATGTTTTCATGACAAGTTAAAAATGTGTTATGGACAGTGTTAATAATGATGCAAATCATTTGTTATGGACCTCCGTAGCTAATCATTGGTTAAGTGTATACTGAAATAATCACTGCTTTAAATACATGTACCTCTTGAAGTGTGAATAATCTGCCACAAACTTTGATGTAAGGTCAGATTTAGTTAGTTGTCCTTTAATCTTATGAAATGTTGATGTTTTTTTTTGGGAGACAGTTCATACTTATTTTTAGTATATTAGCGTATTCAGTGCATGTTGGAGCTCTTATTAATATTTATTTCCTTCAAATCCATTAACTCTCCCCCTCTTGAAAAATTGCAAGAATTATAAAATATTGTATGATGTTATTATTATTTTCATTTATTATAAGAAAAATGTACCTTCCCATTCCTTGAAGGTCAGACACTAAGATCTTTCAAGCATTGTCCATCAAAAAGAAAAGCCAAACAACTGCTATTTCATGCTTTAATTGCAAATTTGGCCTTGTAAAAATTGGTCTCAATTTCTGTATAAATGGTTTCTGTATGATCTGCTATATGAAACAGAAAAAATCTCAGGAAAAAGGGGGAAAATGAGAAAATAGGTTGCTTAGGATTCTGGGAAAAAAGAAAATAGGTTGCTTAGGAGGGAAATAAAGAAAATTGTAATGTTCCTTTGGAGGGGAAGAAGGAAGTTGCTTAGGATTCTGGGAAAAAAGAAAATAGGTTGCTTAGGATTCTGGGAAAAAAGAAAAAAGGTTGCTTAGGATTCTGGGAATAAAAGAAAATACGTTGCTTAGGAGGGAAAGAAAGAAAATTATAATGTTGCTTTGGAGGGGAAGAAAGAAGTTGCTTAGGATTCTGGGAAAAAAGAAAAAGGTTGCTTAGGATTCTGGGAAAAAAGAAAATAGGTTGCTTAGGAGGGAAAGAAAGAATATTATAATGTTGCTTTGGAGGGGAAAAAAGAGGTTGCTAAGGATTCTGGGGGGAAAGAAAAGAGGTTGCTTAGGAGGTAAAGAAAGAGCATTATAATGTTGTTTTGGAGGGGAAGAATTTAGAGGTTGCTTAGGATTCTGGGAAAAAAAGAAAATGATAATGTTGCTTAAGAGGGAAATAAAGGAAATATGTTGCTTGGGGGGGGAATAGACTATGAAATTAGGTTGCTTGGTTTATGAGCACAATATTTTTTTCGACAATAATCATGACGTAAAAACCAAGTTTTCTGTAACCGGAATTTATTTATGTTATAATTAAATGGTATGGTTTATTATATATAATGTTTGAGACAGTATTAATGTAAAGTATATTATATCTATAAAGGAGACAGTGTTGTTTATTGGAGGGAAGACACAGAGGTTGTTACTGGGGGCAGAGATGATGGACATGATGAAAGTATACAAGGATGGTAACCATAGAGAATTTACTGTAAGAGATCTGGCAAATTTCAAAGGTGGTGGTAAGTATTCACTTATGACGTTTTTATTTTGTCACTTATTACTAAATATAAAGCACATGACTGTAGTATGTTGAACTCCTCTTTTGACTCATGACCTACTCTGGAAGTCTTGTTGAATGTCAACCCCATTGTAAAGATGCATTACCTCTTGTCAAAATTTTGCAGACCACATACATTATTGGTAAAAAGTCTTGGATTTCTGCCGGCTGCCCAGCCTTTCTTTCCTTCTTCCTTTATCAAACTTTAATGTTGGTGTAAGGGAGATTGAGAGCAACTCAGTTACCATTATTCATTGAGACAAAATTTACACAAGACCTTTGGGTCAGAGGTCATTACTTAGGTGCGTGAAACTGCATGTTTGAAAATTTATCAAACAAAGATTTTATATTTGTTGAATATACCAAGTACACTTTACAATTTATAACACAGTCATCCTTATGTTATTTTTTTTTATAGATAATGCTGAGAACTTTCTGACAATGGCTGAAAAACAGAAAATAATTTTTCGTGAATTGGAAAATATCCGGGCTACAGAAGATGACGAATTTGTACCAGGGTATGAGTTTATCAAACTGTACACAGGGCGCACAATTGGTAAGAGTATTCACCATTGATATTCATACTATGATGAGATTCTGTTAAAAGGGTCTAATGTTATAAATGTATTTCATACTATTGGGACGCATTGATTTTACTACAGGACTCTGTTTTCAAACATGTGTGTCCTCGGAGGGATTAAATGTACTTTCAAGATGATAAACCAATTTGTCTATTTATCATAAACAAGGAAGGCTCTTGCTGAAGTATATAAATTAGCTATTAATGAATTGTTATGGTAAATGTAGAAATGTACAAAATATTGCTCTTTACAGTGAAAAAAATGCTGAGTCAGGATTTGATAAAGAATTTGTTCCCGATTCATGACAAGGAGTTCCTAAAGAAGCTTGGGGCTGAGTGGTATACGAAACCGTTTGCTCAACAACCTATTGGTAAGCATAGTATTTTATTACATGCTTTTCAGTGGACAGTGAAATTATATTTTGATTGTTTCAGAGTTAAATTATAAAGCTAAAGACTGAATGCAGATGGTAAGAATCTATCTTATAAAAGTGGATATTGTCAGACAGTCTTGAGTAAAATGTGCTTGATTTCATGAAGCACATGGATATCTACACATATCATTTTACGAGTGTAACATGATTTGTAAAATTTTACAGAATTAATTTTAATGCAAACAATGTGTTGTCATGATTTGATGACGTCATGAATGAGAGATCATGTTATGTGGCCAATATCAGTAAAAATGATTTAATCCCCTAAAAAGCATGAAAATAAATGTACATGAAAAGTGCAGAATCATGCCATACAAATATTAACAAGATTATGGTGGAATTCTCATTTTTGTCTTGATGATTTCTTTACATAAAGCATTTTTCACTTTTGGCATGACCAATTCAAGAGGTATGTCATGTTAAAAGGTGATGAATATTCAATTGAAATGTTCCTATTTATATCATACACAATATTTTTCTAGGATTTACAATGAATATATAAACAAACATGTGACATGTTGCATATTTTCAACAACATGTACATACTTATGAGATGTCATTTTTCTGTCACCTGTAGCTTTTCTATGTTGTGTTAATATACTAATGTACCAAACCTAAGGACTGCATTAACAAGCTCAACTGTCTAATTCCAGATAAAGTTCAGCACTACTTTGGAGAGAAGATTGCCCTCTATTTTGCATTTCTCGGCTTCTACACAATAGCTCTAATACCTCCAGCAGTAATTGGTTTAATATACTGGTTGACATCTTGGCAAAACCTGTACCGGGAAGCTATCTTTGCCGTGTTTAATCTCGTCTGGGCAACGTTATTCCTTGAAGCCTGGAAACGTTACTGTGCCGAACTCGCATTTAAATGGGGATGTATGGATTTCGTGTCATCAAGATTTGAAGAACCGCGGGCAAATTACCATGGACGAATGGGAAAGAATCCTGTCACGGGAAAACCTGAACCAGTTTTTCCAAAGTCTCAAAGGGTGCTTAGATTTTATGGAGTAACGGTTCCCGTCCTGTGTTTATGTCTTACGGTAGCATTCTATGCTATGTTGGGTTATTTCTGGTTCCAGGCTATAGTAGATAAATGGTATCTGGAAGACAAGGGCTGGTTGAACTTGCTCAATACGTTTATGCCGACAGTGGTGTATGCTATTGTTATTGCAATACTTAATGCCATATACAGGAAGATCGCCACTTACCTTAATGAATTTGGTAAGCTTATTTTACTACTATGTGTACTTGCCACAAAAAGTTGCCAGAACATATCCTTGAACTTTTAACTAGAAGATTATTTTATGTTCATCCATAATTGAAAAATATGGGATGTCAAAAGTCTCACTTATATGATACATTACAAATTGAAAAACATCAGGTATTTTTTGTAGTAATAGCTTATATTTATTTCATGAAAATGTTCACTTTATGGCATACAATTAACAAAATAATTATCAGAAATCTACAATATATAACTATCAATTTTAAAATGGTTAAAAATTCAGCATCTCATGCAATTGAATGCTAGCTTAAGGCTGTGGTAGGTTTAAAAATTATTTGTATTGTTAATTTCTTGTTCTTGATCATTCAATAAAATGCTGTTTATTGCTTGTTCAAAATGTTATTCAATGAATTTTTACCATTTTGATGTATATCGGATTTGCATTATCAACTGAAGAGGGTCTTGTTCATCAGTAAGATTGAATAATTAAAAGCCAATTAACCCTAAATATGCTATCATTTTACTTTTTCAAAAGCTCAATTTTTGGTGCCCTAGTTTGCTCAGTTTACAGTTTCCAAAAAAAAAAAACCTCCATTTACCTGAGTTATCTTTTGCTTCTTTTGCATTCTGGCTATTTAGTGCAGTTATAGTGAGTAAGTACCAGTAGATTATATGGAAGTCAAATTTGACATTTGACACAGTTTTCTTCTGATTATAAGCATTTCAAATGTTCTAAGTCCATTATTACTTCATCATAAAAAACATATTTGCCCTTTCTACATGTTCTACAAAAAGAAAAAATTTATTCATTTGTGCGGCATAATGTGCCTTTAACCTACTTTTTATAATATTTTACAATGTTGTATTGATAATTGCAGAGAATCACAGATTGCAGACCTCATATGATAACCATATCATTCTTAAACTTATTCTGGTAAGTTGATTTCTATAATAAAACTTATTCGGTTAATGAATATAAATAAAGTAAATTTAGGCCATTTTGAGCTATTCTAGATGAAACTACGGTTCTGAGTTGTGTATAGTATTGTTTGTGCGTATAGTATTGTTTGTGAAATTTTATTGTTTCGCATTGCTGGCCATGTGAAAGATTCAATGAAATTAATCCTGGCTTTAATAAACAATAACCTACTTTGCTATATGCCTGATGCCTTAATTAACAAAACCATGATTTGAATTCCGAGAAAGAATAATCCTAAAATAATTTTATGAAAGAAATTGTTTGCTAGGACATTCTACTTAAAATAGCAGAATAATATTTTGTTCTGGAACATTTTCTGTTTATGTGTAATATCCATGTGTTTAAAATATTTGCAAGTATTTCAAGTATCTACCATGAAAATATTAAAACAACATACTTTTAATGTTTTATTAATTCTTATTAGTTTTATTGTTTAATACCCTTTAATGAAAGACTTAAATAAAAAATTGTTTATTTCAGTTTGAGTTTATTAACTGCTTCATTTCATTGTTTTATGTGGCCTTCTACCTACAAGATATGAAACTGCTGAAAAGTGTAAGTTTTTACATAATCACTCTGGGATATTGTATGACAATTTTTCATATTGACTTAGATCTCTATGTTTGATTTAATCATTTCTTTAAGAAAACTAATTTGACATGTATTACAAAACAAAATCTGTTTTAGGATCAGAGAACATGAAATTGAATGGATATCACATGAAGTAAAACACCAATATCAAGTACAACAAATCCATTTTCAGTTTGTTTGTAAAATAAAGTATGTGATCAGTTGAATTCAAATAATGCTCCATTTAAGTTCAAAGCTTTAAAAGAAACTAATTAAAAAGATGCGGAATACAATTTCTGAATCCTACTTGGTCTAAGATTTGTATGTTTGATAAGAGAATAATAGTTTAAATGCACAATACAGTGGGTAAACTAAATTGTGAGACTAAATTGTGAATGATAGTAAGTTAGCTCTATAACAATATTCAGGGGACTAGTGGATTTTTATCGTTGTATCAAGATAATGTTGCATTAGAGAGGCAACCAATTTGAAAACCATTTTGAGTAGGTACCACAGCAACAGCATTATTATAAGCCTTATATCATTATAAGCAATATCATTTTAAGTGGATTTTATTGTAGTTTTTGAGTCTGAAGAAAGGATATTTTTTAATCAAAGATAAATTGGTTATTATTGATGTATTTAAAGCAAAGTTTTCACTCTGAGATCAGATGATAGCTTTTTGTTTGACTATTTCAGCATCTTGCGGCACTCTTGATCACAACCCAGATAGTAGGACAGATCCAGGAATCTATTCTACCATTTTTATTGCACAGTAGGCGAGCCAAGAAGCTGGATAAAGCTATGAAGAAGTTTGATGAGGTACAGAAAGTAGAGTTTAGTAACGGAGAGATTGGAGAAGATCTACAGAAACAGACAAGTGTAGAGAGTACCATGGATGTTTATGAAGTAAGATAAGTTTTATTTCAAGTTAGCAGCTTGAATATTATACAACATAAGCTTTTATGTGCTTTTATAACCAGCTACATATTGCATGATGAATGAAATTAGCATTGATAGAACTCAATGAAACTTAAAGTTTTGACCTATGGCCTTTTAGTGCTTGAATGGTGGAACACATATTTATATACTGACTAATTTCTTAGATTACATCATGCATATGATATTGCTTGTGCACCACAAGTAGGATTTTTTCTATTCAGGGCATTCCTGAACATATGACCTGGGGTGCTTGAATGGGGTAATAGTAAAAGCTGTCTTGGCACGCTTGTGAGGAGAAAGAATTGAAATGACGTACATTCTCCTTATATTCAATTCTTATTTGTAGATTTTACTGGAAGTCATATTTGTTTGCAGATGGCCTTTGGCTGAAAATGTGATAGTTTGCACTCCATATTGATGATATAAAAATAAGTGTGATATTATATTATACCTTACCTATGAAATTCTGTCATAAATAGCTTAATCTAAAACTGTCATATTTTATACACTAGGGAACACTGAATGACTACCTGGAGATGTTTCTACAATTTGGCTATGTATTTTTGTTCTCGTCTGTGTTCCCCCTGGCAGCTGTATGGGCATTATTGAACAATGTGACGGAGATAAGATCTGATGCATTTAAGATGTGCCGCGTATTTCAACGCCCGTTTGCTGAATCTGCTTCCAACATAGGTGCTTGGCAGGTATGTGTTTCAATGTGATTGAATAATTAGCATGATAATTAACATCAAGGAAATATTATTCTCTATAATAGAAACGAAAATGATTATGCATAATTATGATTTTATAGTTCTGAATCTATCTATCTATCTATCTTCCACTAATGCCAAACCCCCTTGTTAGGACGTAGACATGTCTGCGTGTCAAAATCACAAGAAAGTTAAAAAGAATTGTTTAATAATAGTTTAAAAGAATATTAAAAAAAGTTAAAAACACAGGGCTGGAAAACTAGGATGAGACATGATCCGTGCAAGCTATGGCTGCACTGAACTGCTCTGGGGTAGGGAGAAGGGCAACTGCAGGGGGTAGGTGGTTCCAGTGGTATACTGACCTAGGGAAGCAGAGTTATGGCCCTTGATTAAATTCAGATAATAATTACTGGTGGCACTTTCTTTGTTGTTTTCTTTTTGAAACTTTGTTTTCTGTTTGTTTTGGTGATAATTCACACTGACACTAATATAATTAACAATTATTATCTTGAACATTCTTTGACTATTGTAGGCAGCATTTGAAGTGATAAGTGTGATGGCAGTGATGACAAACTGTGCCTTGATAGGTATGAATCCCGAGGTACAGAAACTGCTACCAACAGACATTGCACCTGTAAATATAGTCCTCATCTTCGTTATTGTAGAGGTAAGTGATATTACAAGATACTCTTAGGTTTCAATTTGTATTTTTTCATCATTGCATCATTCTTTAGGTGTAACTTAAAGTCCCTCAATAGACTAGTAGATAAGGATAACGCTATTTAAACATAAAATAAAGTGGGGGCTTCCGTTGCTAATTGGTTTGGTTGTTGATTTCAAACCACTTGCCCCCTCACCACTGTGGGTTCAACAGGGACTTTGGATTATTTTATGTAAGGAAGCTATCCAGCTAGCTTGTGGAACGTTGATGGTTCTACACAGGTTCCCATTCATGCCTGAAATAATGCTTTGAGGGGCATCTGAGGTCTTCTTCCACCAGTAAAGCTGGAATGTAATTATATGACTTACACTGCAACCTAAAACCCAACCAAAACAAAACAGAATAAGCGTAGAATAAAGAAAAATGATAATTTGTTGTTTTAAGATTCAAAAGGTATTGTATAAAAGGTCAATATGTAACAATGGTTCAATGAATTTCTTGTTGACAGTTGGTGGAGAATTTTCCCTAGATTCTGTACCAGTTTCCCAGATTCTGTACCAGAACTTGATCATGATTCTCCACAAGCTGATAACAATTTCTCATCAAATCAAAAAAGGAGATATTTATTCCTAATCTTAGCAGTATTTGAAAATCTAAAATTCATAGATCTAGAATTCCTTATAAATTAGACCACCTCTGTGGTTGAGGGGTTAGAGTGATGACTTCTAATCCAGTTACCTCTCTTGGGTGGGTTCAATCCCCGGGAGATGCTTTGGTAGTTTAGCGCGGAGGAAGGTTGTCTAGTACTGGTGTAACTCTCCAGGAACGATGGATAGGAAACTACCAGCCTATATGACTGAAATATTGTTGGAAAAAGGTGTAAAATTGAAACAAACAAACAAAAAAATTCTTATAAATTGATTTACCTGACATCACAACATGAGTGAATGATTCAAACCTTTATAAAGCAGAGATATGTTCATCTAGAAAATTATGAAAGTATTATTTTGTTTCTGATTGACAGCATGTTCTGCTAGCTCTGAAGATAGCTGTGGCATACTTCATACCAGACGTACCCAAATGGGTAGATGTGGAACTGTCCAGAATTGCTTATCAGTCAAAACTAGCTCTTCAAAAGGAGGTTAGTAAAGTATAATTCATTAGTGAACTTTTCATAGAAAAGCTAGGTTTAGTATGAAATCTACATATATCACATGGCTTTTGAAAGAGGAAGTTCATATGATCTGATAGAATACCTCATTACAGATGACATATTAATTTCCTGATAAAAAAAAAGCTTGTGATATTCATTATTCAAACAATTTATACACATATATGTATTATGTATATATTAGAAAGGAGGGATTTTATAGGGTTTTTTTTGCATGCTTATTTATTTAACATTTCATTTTATTGCAAGTTTTGCTGGAACCACATTGCAGTAGATCCGTATTTGTGCTAAGCTATGGCTGCATGATTATGATTATTTTAAGAGCACTTGTGTAGAATATAAGTTTACTGTCTTCAAAATACAACGGCATCTAAATAAAATCTAGTTCAGAAAAATCTATATTACTGGTTAAAAAAAAAAGAAAGATCATGAAAATTAAAAAAAGAAACATTTTTATTTCATTTTATCAGTTAGATGAGGTAAACTAAACCCAGTTTTTAGAAATGTGAATTCACTTCTAATGTTTTGTTTGTCTCCTTTGCTTTCATGAAACTTTAACAAGTTTAGTTTCTCTTTTCATCATAACTGTCAATAGACAGGACAGATATTAGTACTTTAGTAGTAAGCTGTAAATAGAATTAGAAATTTTGCTTTTGGCTGTATAAAATATTTGTGTACATTTTGATAACTTGATCAATATGCTTGACATTCCCACTGCTCTCAAGTTGAGTTTAAGCTACATGCATGACCTATAGACCGTTTGTCACTGTTGCACATTACAGTTTTACTGATATATTAATTCAATACTAACATGAGATATATAAATTTTGTTTAATGCAATTTCATTGGTGGATATGTTACGCACCTGTTGCTGTATATTGACGCATATCAATTCGTTTTTTCACAGCTTAATTACATGTTAATCAGCTGTTGGTATCCGACAATGCATTTTGAGGTCATATATAATAAGTAGTTTCTCTTCTATTCTTATAAGTTAAAGCTTAGTTTCACTTTTCATCATATCTTTCAATAGACAGAACAGATTTTCTTAGTGGAGTATTTGTTTCACATGATATCCAGTTGCTTATTTAATAGTAGAGAAATTTTGCCAAGTAAAACCCTTATAAAAGGTTTAATATAGTATTGTTAATTACATCAAGTTCAATCCATGAAATGTTTTGTCGTTAAATTGTAGTTTATAATGGTAATTAAATGCATGACATTACTAACTCATATATAGTTTCAAAGAATTATTAACGTTATTAGATTGACTGTTTCAGAGAAAAGGTCGAGTTATTATGATCACTGCATTTTTGTATTTGTCATCATTGTCGTCGCGCAAAATTTTTCATGAAGCCCATGATTCACTCATTTTAAAAATTATGAACATGAAACTTGGAATACTTGCTTATCGGCATTGCCAAAGTGTCGTCATTATTAGACCAGGGGCATAATTCTGAAAGCTATATTTTTAGAGTTCTGCACCTTTTAAACGTAAAATTTCTTTTTAAAATTGGTTGCCCTTAACAGACGAGCATTATTTTCACATGCGATACTCTTGCTAATACATTAACCATAGACTTGAAACCTATATTTTGTTGTTTTATTTTTACCTGTATTTTATTTGCCTCCACCATTTACAGAGAAATAACCATTTATGATGTAGTGAGTAACTTACGTTCTTTCTTATTTTACCTTTATCTGTTCCTGTAACCTAGCGTTTGATTTCTATTTTTAACCTTTATCATTACTATTATCTGTTATGTGACTTCGTTAGGATTGTTTTGAGATCTTTTGTTCTATTTGTCCAGTGCTAGGTTCAGTATTTGCTTAACAGCTAGATTTTGTGATAAAACTAAGGGATTGGGTCATTTAAGTTATCCTATATTTAGCTGGTTGTTAGTCTGTGTTTGTCTGTAACTGAAGTCTAATAGACTGTCTTAATGTGTTGGGTTACACGTGTATAATTATATGATATCAATTTTGTAAGTATGACTGTCACCATTGAAGTCAGTATGAGATGTACAGTGGATCACATGTGTGACTTGTTCCCATCATGCTATCCGTCATATGCAATAATAAACTTTAAATGAAATGGGAGTGTGGAATTTGCCATATTTGGCTCTTTGGAAATCACATTTTTATCCTTTAGCCTATGACCTTTTCCAGATTTTTTTCACTAGTAGCTTTCACTTTCGCAAGGAACTGATAACTTCTGTACATGCCAGAGCAGAAGTACAGTGTGAATGACTGAAGAAAGGATTTCATGATCAATCACAATGATAATGACCTGCACTGTCTCCGTGAATCGAACCCAGATCGCCTAATTCCCAATCCAACTTTTCATCTATTGAGCTAACGACAGTGTCTGTTTTAATGTGTTGACATGCTATGCTTTAATGTACTTTTCCTTGTATAAAGATGTTTTTTCAAGCTTAATATACATTTATAGATATAAATGTATTGTTTTGATTGGCTATTCTTAATAATCATTTTCAGTGATTGTTATACTGTTTTAATCCTTACTTGCTGTCTTGAACGTGTTTAATTCTATGTCATGTTTTGTATGCTGTGTAAAGTAATAGTACATGTATGTCTTTGTATGCAGTCACAACTGTAAAACATCTCTGCTGTGTTTATGACACGTGTGTACCTACCGGAATATAATTAGGAACTTCCCGCCCCGGAATGCATGTTTCATCTATTAATGTTCGTGAAATTGTCTGTCTGTCTGTCTGTCTCTGTTTTCTAATATTCTTTTATTTTTCTTTAAAAGTCTTTAATTCAGTGAATTAAAATTTCTTTTATTTGTGCTGTGTTGGTAAAGAATTGCTGTAATTTCTTACAAAGTTTTTTAATGCATGATTGTGTTAATTTTTTTTTTTTTTTTTTTTTTTGAAAACGAGCATTTTCAAAGATTTACTATTTAAAGAAAAATAAGTAATACAGTCACACTGTTTATTCAGATCATAAAAAATATAAGCTTAAAATAGATGCATGAATTATATGTTTTGACATTGAATCTTTTTGTTGATTGTGTAAAGTTTTGAACTAAAAGTCAGGACTGCACATGAGTTTCAATATTTTGTTTCAGAAATCCCTGCAACTTTGAATGGACAGTAACCAAATGCAAACAAGACCAGTTCCTTTCACAAATTTATCAGAATGAAGGTTTAAAACTGATAACAAAAATTAACCAAAAAAATATTACAATTTATTAAGTTACACCATATCTGTTGATGAACTTGATAGTATAGTAAGATTAAACTGATAATTAGAAAAAAAAAAAAATAGTCAGACTGCATTTTGAATAACCCCAAATGAAAATCAAACAACATATGCACTAATTACTTATTATATGTTTGTTATAGGTCTTGAAGGATATAATTTCAAAATCAGACCCTCATTATAATGAATCATATCCTTCCCATGAGCATATGTACTTATGCATTATGCATAATTTAAAGTCCAAATTTTGCACATAATATTTACGTATTACATTTTACCCAATGTAACTGAATGACAATAAAGATATTCTAATTTAAGAAATATGAATCTTTACACACTATAAGAAAATATATTTTGGCACAGATAAATAAGAACAATTATGTTGAAAGGAAAATTTTGCTTTAAAATTTTTATAATTATACGGTATTGTTACATAAGATCAAAGTTGTAGGGCAATTTTTAAACTGGCCATTATCTCTAGTGTTATAACTATTGAACCATTAGTAATGTTATATGATTAAGAGTATATATAGTATACATTGTTACTGTCAGAATAGATTTACCACACTAAATATCTTAAATAGACTTGTACATGTTTCAACCTGGACAAAACCATTTATCATTTTAAGGGTAGAATTTTCAAAATGAATACTGACTGAATAAGGAACAGTGTAGACCATAATCAGACTGCAAGGATGTACCTGTTTGTTGTCTGCACTGGGCACATGTACAGAATCAGTTGCCGTCAGCTTAGTGATTTTAATTAATGCCAGTTTACTCTTATTTCAGCAAATACAGAGAGCACAAACTGCGAAGAAGATAACGTAAATGTTAGATGGATTTGAGAGTGCTATAACTGGGAGGCTATGAAGAAGAACAATTAAAGCAAAAGCCTGCACAAAAAGAAAGTTGTATGTTTAAAAAACAGAATGAAAAATGATACATCATTTTATTATATAATGAAGACACTTTTAACTATTTAGAGATTAACTTTTATAGATATACATTAGATTATAATATTTATTTAAAATTAAGGAGTTGTGATTAAATTTAAAGTATTATGAATTTTAAAAAAACAAACAAAGATGCCATATAAGAAGTTTACATAGAGCATCAAATTTACAATATAATCTTTTTACAAGTTAAATATTGGTGTGTTTATTAGGGAGAGAGCATTTATTAGAATCAGTATGGCAATGAAATTTAGACAGTGATAGACTGGTGACGGAACAAAAAAGTTATAAAAGGCCTAATAGAATTTGATATTATTTAGTTGAAAATGGCAAGTGTATGCCTGGGTATAGTTTAGTGATTGTAGCTTGTAGATTTAACCATATTTTGCATTTGTACATTGTTTATTAATATAGTTATTGTTATATAGAAGAGTGTATTATGTTTAGGTGTTTTATTTTCTTTCTTATTCTGTAACTTAAGTGCCTTTATGATTGATATATTTGTTTTTAACTCAGGTTTAGTAATGGTGATATTTTGTTTATTTGAAAACAAATGACCAGATATTTTTTTTCATTTGATTGTTAAATTTTTTGGGTTTTTTATGCAAATTTTTAGTCATGTTTGGTCATATCTCAGCAGTCAGTCCACTTAACTAACTTTCCAGGATAACTAACCAGTTACCCTGGATAACTAACAAGTTACCAATTCCTGCACATATGACAGACTACTAATTCCACATGATTTCTGAATCAGCAGTAAGAGAAATGACTATTAAACACAATGTCCCCAGATAAATTGTTCTGAGAAAATTTCACCCCATCCCAGGATCAAACCAGCGACCATTGGATTAATAATCCCATGCTTTCCCTTTTGAGCTTAGTGGGCGAAAAGTTTTTACTAATGTATTTAGGTTTGATTGTGTTGCATTCCTAATTCACGCTTTCTAAGATTTGAAATGATTAAATATACATGCATTTGGTGATAAACATACAATTGGCATTGGCAAGTTAACAGTGTATTATATATAAAGTTTTTCTGATTGATATATTTTAAGATAGCATACATAATGACAGTCATATTGTTTTGTCATTAGGATTATCGTCATTTATTTTAAACACAAACTTTTTCTCTTTCTTTGATTATTTTGTTACATATCTAAATGTCTGTGTTAGATTTATTGTTATGTTTTCATGATTTGCATTTATTATATAAAGGTGCAATATATATTTACATATTACTGATAATGTTTTGTTTACATATATGTTTTCTTCCGAACAAAAATGAAAAGAAAGACACAATTATTCAAGTATATGTTTACATATTAATTATATGTTTACATAATAAGTATTTGTTTACATATTGTTCAAAAAAGTGATGATTTATCTGTAGTGTCTTACCCACCATTGCAAAGTGATCGTACATAATGGGATGTGCATTCTGGCACAAAACAGACGCATGGTTGTTGATAAAATGAGTAATGTTAAAGCATGTAAAGTTATGCCAAGTTACTCAAAATTTAGACAAAATTTTAAGGTGCAGATATGTCAATGTTTTAACCAACATTGTGAACTGTATGACATTTAGAATGTTTTTGAATGTTTTATACCTAAAGAGTTATAAGAAATTTTAATTATTGTATGTGTTGGAAACGCAATCCAGCGATCTTAGAGCTAACAAAATTTAATACACCCGAACCGAATTGTCAAGGTCTGAATCATAATAATCTGAGTGGATTGAATCATTGTTACAGCCAAAGGTATGTTGAAGATTGCCGATTATGTGGAAATTAAAATGTATCTGATATGACATACATGTACATTGATACCATTTGCTGAAAGAAAGATTCTTTTTATGAATGAAAATAAAATCGTTTTTGTGTTTTTTGTTTTTATTGAAATGATTATGTAAGATGTTTTTATGGAATTTGAGAAGCCTATACTGTCACACTAAAGAGGAAATTAAATTTTTTATCTTTTTTCCTACAGGAAAGCAATCTCATTCTGTTTTTGTTAATCAAATTTGAACAACTGAAGAGAGAAAAAATGATTATATGTGAAAAAAAAAATATGTACAGTGTAATAATGCCAGCAGCTTGCATTTCATCAAATGTCTATATATTTGTTATATACATGTATAATGAAAGGGTCTTATTTCCCATACTGACAGAGTACCATATTTATTAATTAGAGATTAAATTATTATTTCTACAGTTTTATTTGTTTACGAAAAAAGTATTATTTTTTTCTCTGACAAAGGTTGTTAAAAGAGTTACTGTTCAAGTTGAATTTACTGTTCATTTTTAGAAGGTTGATGAAATATATTATTTTTGAGGTTGTAAAACAATTATGTTTGATATAAAATAAGATTTTTGTTCAAACTAAATTGGACAGTATTTTCTGATATCAAGTAAACAACAAATTTTATCCATGTAGCATTTACTTCAAGTATCATAGCATTTATCAAAGAATTGCTAAAACAGCAAAATTTGTAACATACATGACATATTTCATACTTTTTTAGCTCGACCTAACGAAGTATATGGAGCGCTGTCCTACTCGCCCCGGCGTCCGCGTCCAGATTTCAGATTAAAGTTTTGGTGCAGTAAAATATTTTTCACAATAACTTTTTCATTTCTTAAGGTATCAACTTCAAACTTCAAATATATGTTCCTTATCATCAACCCAATCTTATGTGACAAGGTTCATAACTCTAGCACCAATATTTTCAGATTTATCTCCCCTTGAACTTAGAATTTTTCTTAAAAAATATTTTTTTTACTGTAACTTCTTTATTTCTTAAGGGATCAACCTCATACTTGAAATATATATGTACCTTATCATCATCCTGATCTTATGTGACAAGGTTCATAACTCTAGCACCAATATTTTCAGATTTATCTCCCCTTGAATTTAGAATTTTCCTTAAAAAATACTATGTTTTACTGTTGCTTCTTTATTTCTAAAGGGATCAACTTCATACTCCAAATAAATGTACCTTATCATCATCCACATGTTATGTGACAAGGTTCAGAACTCTAGCACCAATATTGCAAGAATAATCTCCCCATCAGCTTAGATTTTTTACTAGAAAAATGTTATTTTTTACTATAACTTTTTTAGTTTTAAAGGTATCTACCTCAAACTTCAAATACTTATTCCTTATAATCAATTATATTTTATGTGACAATGTTCATAACTCTTGAAGTAATTTTTTAACAGATTTATCTCTCTTTGACTTAGGATTTTCTTTAAGAAATATTATAACTTGTTACTTTTTAAGGTATCTACTTCAAACTTCAAAATATACTTCTTAATCAATACATACATGTTGTGTGTGACAAGGTACATAACTCTCTAGCATCACTATTTCTAGAAATTATTTCCCTTGATCTTGGAATTTCATTTTTAACAAATGTTATTTTTTTTACTTTAACTTCATACATAATTATACATAATTGATTTTTCTTTCATAGTTTTGTCCTCCTTACTGCGTCCAGTATTTTATTAGTCGAGCTTTGCTGACTCCTGTGACAGCTCTTGTTGTACTTTTTAGAGTGCAATGTTTAAATTTTTGCATTGAACTTTTATTTTTAAAGAGTTTTAGTATTTACAATTAGTTTATTTACAATTAGGCACAGTTTTTCTTTTTTCTAACGATGTGATAAAACTTTGTGCATTTATTTAGAAGCAGGGTTCTATAATAGTTTTTCTTCTTTTTCCAGTTGGTTGGTTGACCCTTTTGAGCATTTAATTTATAGAAGCCTGTGATGATTTCTAATATCAGTAGTTAGAGACATGTGACCATTTTTACATATGTAGGATGTTTAATGTCCAACATTTATTAAAGGGGACTCAACTGAGATTTTCTTATGTATAATGGGGACTGGAAATAAGTTTTTCAGTTAATGTTCTATTTGACCAATGGTATTGGGTCTTTAGTGAATAACTTGTTGCAAAAAATTTTCAGAGGTCTTTGTTTTCCCTGTTTTTTTTCTAGAATAATTTTTCTACTTGTGAAAAATAACTCAAAAATAAAAAGCAATTTGCAATGCTTTTCACTCAAATTGGGCTAAAGATAGCACAAAATTACCATTTTCAATTTATTTCTGAAAATGTTTCTTTTTGTTTTAAGTGCCACTGTGCTGACCTTATAAGAAATTCAAATTTTGTGCTTTTAGGCTTTTGCACTGATTAAGTATATTACCATGTATTTATATCTTTTTAGTATTAAGTATTTTCTACCATGCATGAAATCATCTAAAAGAATGTTACTGATTTGGTGAATCCATATTGGCTTTGCTATTTGACTGAGGGCTGTGGCATTAGAACAAGGTCCTGCTTCTTAATAACATAAAAATGTTGTATTTTGGTATGAGCCCAGTTTTTTTCAGTATTGGCTGTTATATTTATATCGGTACTAACCATTTTGTACTTGCCTTGTGTTAAAGTATATTGGCTTCATAGCTATTTTATAACAGGCAGGGCAGGAAAAGCTGTTACAAGATTGTATATTTTTCATAGTTAATAAAAATAGAGATAGACCTTACATGTTTGTTAACATTACGAGACTCCTCTTTAAGTATCCTAGTTTCTTGGTTTATTAACATTTTTGGAAATCTTGCAGAAGTTTTGGAAAAACACCTGTATATGTAAATATGTCCCTGTAATTAAAGTTCCTATGAACCGGAACTTTTCTTCAAGTTTGATTAGATGAAACAATACATTAGTGGACCTAATTTTTGGTTGATTTAGTGGTAAGTTTTTAAGTTATAATAGAGAACAATGTACACATGTATGTTCTAGTATCCCATATCAAAGTACTATCAATTATTGATACTGAGAATTATTTTTATTTTATATTTTTTGTTTTGAGGTTTCTTATTTTTTACTGTTGAAATGAACATCCTAGCCTGTAGTCATATATTTACACACATGTATATTATAGGTACTTTTGTATCCCCTATGTAAAGTTCAAATAATTAAAATTAAAAATAAACAGAAAACCCTTTTATGTGTGTTTTACTGTTACTACCATAAGGCAGTGATATTCTTATCAGCGGGTGAATACCTAGGACAAATGTTTTTCAAATAAAAAAAGTTATTTTTCCCCAAAACCTGGAACAAAAAAGGGGCCGATTTTTATATATTTCCCTCCCTTGTAAAAAGGGGCCCAGCCTTTTTAAAGGGGTTCAGTTTTGGGAAAAATTATAAATATACTTGACAAAATAGGGAAAAAAAAAATAGACAGCTGATTTATGTGTTTGGGTCAAATTCTGTTAAAACATATGCACCCAAAAATTTTAAAATTATGACACCAATATTTTTAATTTTTTTATGAAGACAAATTAAAATTTAAGAGTTTTTTATCTAAATAAAAATGCCCCTGCAAAAAGGGAGGGCCCAAGGGGGGGTTTAAAAATTTGAAATGTGAAAAACATCTAAATGTCAATTTTAAATGTTTTTTTTTAACCCTAAAACTAGTTGAAGAATAGGGAGAGCTATTGTACTTGCCTTGCCCTGGCGTCACACTTTAGTTAAATTTGTTGTATGGTGTCTCCAAAACTACTGAATGTGTAGACAAAAATGGCCTTGTCTATATGTGGACAAAAATGGCCTTGTCAGTATGTGACATAATGTCCAAAAAAAGGTCTTTTCTATATGTTGGCCAAACTGGCCTTGTCTATATGTGGAGCAAAAATGGCCTTGTCTATATGTGGACAAAAATGGCCTTGTCTATATGTGGACAACAATGGCCTTGTCTATATGTGGACAAAATGGCCTTGTCTATATGTGGACAACAATGGCCTTGTCTATATGTGGACAACAATGGCCTTGTCTATATGTAGACAAAATGGCCTTGTCTATATGTGGACAACAATGGCCTTGTCTATATGTGGACAAAATGGCCTTGTCTATATGTGGACAACAATGGCCTTGTCTATATGTGGACAACAATGGCCTTGTCTATATGTAGACAAAATGGCCTTGTCTATATGTGGACAAAAATGGCCTTGTCAGTATGTCCAGGAAAAAAGTTCTTTTCTATATTTTGGGCAAAAAAGGCCTTTTCTATATGTGGAGCAAGAATGTCCTTGTCTATATGTTGAACAAACTGCCTTGTCTATACATGTATGTGAAGCAAAAAAGGTCTTGTCTATATGCGGAGCAAAATGGGCTTGTCTATATGCGGAGCAATAATGGGCTTGTCTATATTCGGAGCAAAAATGGGCTTGTCTGTATGGAGCAAAAAAAGGCTTATCTTCTAAGTGGAGCAAAAATTGGCTTATCTATATGTGTAGCAAAAATGAGCTTGTCTATATGTGAAGCAGAAATGGGCTTATCTATATGTGGAGCAAAATGGGCTTGTCTATATGTGGAGCAAAACTGGGCTTATCTGTATGTGGAGCAAAAATGGGCTTATCTGTATGTAAAACAAAAGTGGGCTTATCTGTATGTGGAGCAAAAATGGGCTTATCTGTATGTGGAGCAAAAGTGGGCTTATCTGTATGTGGAGCAATAGTGGGCTTATCTGTATGTGGAGCAAAAATGGGCTCGTCTATATGTGGAGCAAAAATGGGCTTATCTGTATGTGGAGCAAAAATGGGCTTATCTGTATGTGGAGCAAAAATGGGCTTGTCTATACATGAAGTACAAATTGTCTTGTCTATATGCAGAACAAAAACAGCCATTTTCTTACATGGAGCACAAATGGCCTTGCCTATATGCAGAACAAAAACAGCCTTTTCTTACATGGAGTACAAATGGCCTTGTCTATGCGTGGACCAAAAAACGGGTTTGTTTATATGCAGAGCAAAAGGCCCTTAAGAGTGTCAGAAAATTTGGTTTTGCACAACGTCTCAATAAAGTAAATTTTGAACCAAATGTTATGAATATCAATAATTCTTCAAGCAGTTTAGTATAAAACTAGAAATGTGTCCATAGGACACGGGTGCCCCCACCGCGCCACTGTTCTGTCAATCTTTTTACTAAGTCAAGGGAAATAACTGAACCTACAAATACTGGAAATAAATCCCCCACAAGCGAAACCCCAGGGCAAATCTAAATATGCTGAGCAACCTGCCCATAAGGTTTCATGACTACGTCAAATCCCTTTTTGAGTAACTTGCGACACAAGTTGAAAATTGCAAAAATTTTCTAAGTGAAGGGCAACAACTCTAAAAATACTATATAAATCTCGACAAAAATACCTGGTGCACAGCTGCACATGCTGATTAATATTCCTGTAAAGTTACATCACTCTAAGTCAAATACTTTTTGAGTTACATGCGACACATGTTGAAAATTGCAAAATTTTACTAAGTCAAGGGCAATAACTCTGAAAATACTACAAATAACCAGACGAAAATATCAAGGTGCACAACTACACATGCTGATCAACATTCCTGTTAAGTTTCATGACTCTAGGTTAAATACTTTTTGAGTTTAATGCGACACAAGTTGAAAATTGCAAAATTTTACTAAGTCAAGGGCAATAACTCTGAAAATACTAAAAATATCCAGACGAAAATATCCAGGTGCACAACAACACATGCTGATCAACATTCCTGTAAAGTTTCATGACTCTAGGTCAAATACTTTTTGAGTTACATGCGACACAAGTTGAAAATTGCAAAATTTTACTAAGCCAAGGGCAATAACTCTAAAAATATCCAGACCAAATTACCCAGGTGCACAACTTCACATGCTGATCAACATTCCTGTAAAGTTTCATGACTCTAGGTCAAATACTTTTTGAGTTACGTGCGACACAAAAGTGAACGGACGGAATGGCGGACGGACAAGGGTAAATCTAAATGCCCGCCATCACTAACGTGGGTGCACAGAAAAACATATCAGCATTCTGATGGAACTATTCAAAGTGTCTCGTTTTTCAACATTCTGTTGTTTATTGATAATAGATCTAAACATTTTAACTCATAAATCTGTGCAAAAAAAGATATCTTAAGAGTATTTATTCATTGAATAGCATAATTATTTCAAAACAGATTCTTGAAAATGATGTAACATAAATGAATCTAAACAAAAAAGCATAAGACAAATACATGTAGTATATATTTAATTTATAATAATTTGTTACACTGTTATTAAATGACAGCATAAAATAGTCTTCATCAGTTGGTAAAATATGAAATGCACATAATAACAATTCCATCAAGAATATACATAATTATGTAGTTTATATAAAAATTTCTGGTATATCTAACAGAACATATCAAAATAAAATATGAATTTGCAATCACTTGCAAAGTACAGATGAAATGTCTTACACAAAACTGGTAATGTTAACTAACCTCTTACTTGTTCATTAAACTTAATACATGTACATAAATATCAAACATAACTAATTATAAATAATACCATAGATTTCACCTGATGAGACGGAATAAACAACACTTTATGCAGTGTCATTTTCACCCTTAACACACTAAATATCTTAAAAGGACTTGTCCATCTTTCACAACGAACAAGAAATTAGTACTGACTGAAAAGCAAACGGTGTAGACCACGATCAGATAGAACAAATGTACTTTCAGGTGAAACAGACGTTAGTCTACACTGAATCTGTTGTTGTCAGCAAGCTAAAAACTAATATATGTATACTATGCATCTTGCCAAAGTAGTCAGTCTTACATTATGAGATCTTTTATACAGTAATAACTATGTATTAATAGTAATGCAAGAAATAGTCTCTTTATAAAATATAGTCTCTCTACACAAATCATGATGTTGCTTGGAAATAACCACAAATTAATTGAAATTTTCAGCTTCATAAATATATTGCAGATATTTGTTACATGCTTTTAAGTAGATTACCAATCATGACAGTACCAACAATAGTCAGACAAGCTTGAATAGCCCTGCAGTCTATTGACTGCTCTTTGGTACAGAGCTGGAACTGAAACCTTAAAACAAGAGCTGTCAGTAGGACAGCAACGCTCGACTATTCTTAGTGCTTGACAGTAAAAAAAATGCTTGATACAGCTACTTCCTCCTGTTTACAGGTTGGGGTCATGATGGTGAACAAGTGTACAAAGTTTCAAAGCCATATGTCAATGGACTTTGAAAATATTTGAACTATTACAAAAACTTTAACATAAATTCAAAGTCGAAAAAGGGGCATAATCCTGTCAAAATGCTTGATAGAGTTACCTCCTCCTGTTTACAGATGGGGTCATGATGTTGAACAAGTGTGCAAAGTTTTAAAGCCATATGTCAATGGACTTTGAAAATATTTGAACTATTACAAAAACTTTAACATAAGTGGTTACGCCGACGCGGACGCCGACGCTCGGGTGACTGCAATAGCTCTATTTATTCTTATCGAATAGTCGAGCTAAAAATAGCAATGGATAGTTTAAAGTTAATACAGCCCAAGTCCATTCTATATGTGTAGGGGTTAAAGGGTGCACAACAAGTCATCAAGTATCAGGACTGTTCTATTTCAACTTCTGATTGTATTGTCTCCACTTCCTCATATACCATCTGACTTGTGTCAGCCTGTGGAATACATATTGTCTGTGCTTCAAACTGCTGCGCCTCCCCGTCTGGCAGTAGAGTCTGGTACACCACGTTACTACCTATGTCCGACATCTCATAGTTAATATTGCTATTATCTGTGGCTATCACTAACTGACCGTTTTGTAATGCACTTTCCAGATCGAAATGATCGGCTGTGATAACATTTGACATGTTACCTTCGTTGATTATCAGGTTAACTCCTTGGGAGACTTCCATTTCATTTTGGCCATCATTTGAAATATCTTCAAAGTGGTTTTGATTATATTCTGTTTGATCCCTGTTACTATAGTATGTATAAGAAGGTTTCGGCTCGTGAACAATGTTATGAACTACTTTCTCGTGCCTCTGTAAATGGTGCTTCTGTCTGAAGGCATATCCGCAAACTTCACATTTAAATGTACGCTTTGATCCATGACCTTGAATATGGGCATCACACATGACCTTTGAACGAAAGCGCCATGTGCAGCCTGCAATCGAGCAACCAAAAGGTCTAGCCGGGTCGTGAACTTGTTTATGTTTCTTCAACGTTGATTTATCACTGTATGCCTGCCCACATATTTCACATATCAGACTATTGCCACTATGAATTTGACGATGTTTGTGAATAGCAATGTTAACGGCTGATTCAAAATCACACTCCGGACATTTATACGGCTCTTTCTCTTCATGCGATTTCAAATGCTGAATAAGATTTCTCTGTGTTTTAAACGTTTTGGAACATAATGCACATAGAAAATCTTTGTTTCGTTTGTGACTTTGTAAATGCATCCGCCAATATCGTAACCTATTAAACACTTTCCCGCACTGTTCACAAGGATATTCTCCAAGCATATCTTGTGTCTCAACCCCACGCATTCTCTTATTTGGCTTTTCAGCCGTTTCCAATGCTATATACTCTGTCATTTTCATCAGTTTCCCATTTTCTGTACCAAGATGCAATGGAGTTATTAAAGCGGCACCAGATAGCAGCTCCTTATCGTGATCTTCTCTCATATGTCTGCACATACTATTTCTCCACCGTACAACATATGTACAAAACAAGCATTTAAACTGATCTTTCCCAACATGCATGCTCTTCACATTCTTTCCCCCTTTTGTTACAAAATATATAAAATAAAAATCGGGCATATCTAACTCTTGTGGAATCTTTCCTGGAACAGGTGCTAATTTTCCTCGCTTTTTAAAATTTCTGGTACAGTAAGCCAAGCTTTTAGAAGGGGACACATTTCTAGTTACAACATGATCTTTTTTATTAATTTCATCAGTTTTAGAATTTTCCACTTCACTTTCCTTTAAGGAATCAATACACTCATTAGAAAAGTTTTCTTGATTACCAATTTGTTCATTTGTCAATGGTACAATGGTCTGCAATGAATCTTTTTGAGATGAATGTGATATTTCACCTGTGAATAAATCTATTTTATTAGCAACATAACTGTCAGTAATCGATGAAACTCCATTCAAGCTAGCTGTCTTCTGATCTTTTTTTCCTGGCACTACTTGCCTATAAGCTTCAGTTCTGTTATGAGAAACTGGTTTATGAAAACTTTCTACATAAGTGGTTTGCTTTCTATCTAAATCACTGCTTTTATCAAAGTAAAAATGTTTAACAACTTTCTCATTGTCCTGATTATTGTGACTGTAATTTGATTGTAATAAATCATTCAGTGATGAAGATGATGGTGACTCTGTTAATGATAATCTTTCATCTGATTGCGTAGAAGAGACTGATGTTAAAGCTGAACCTGTCGGAGGTCCCATGACCAGTATAACAGAAGAGCTGGTCAAATTCACAGATCCGGAGAGAGTTGGTGAACTAACCAATAATGAAGAGCCTGGCACAATTGTGTTGTTGTAAACAACAGATTCAGAAGATATACATGAAACATCTTGTGTGTGGTATGAGCTAGTCAATGATTCTGCACTGACAAGTGTTGTAGGCTCATTCACTTTTGTAGCTTCATGCAATTTTTCAATATTGTCCACAAAGCTGTTACTGTATCCCAAATTGACATTACAGCTTAGACCATTTGGTAAACTGATTTCTGCTGTTGTTTCTATCTGTTCAGTAGCACCATCCAATAGAGATACTCCAGTTTCTAATTGAATTTTTGACTTCCCTCTTACTTTCTTTGCTGTACCTTTAAGTTTAACTATGTTCTTCAGCCTTTCAACTTGTACATCTGGCTTTTCTAATGTTGTATCAAATACAATATTGTGTTTACGACGGTAATGTTCATATAAGGCAGTCTGTCTTGAGAAACCAAGCTGACACACTTCACAGCCTCTCCCCTTTCCACGGTCAACATCTGAAAACAAGTGTCACAAAACATAATTTTCATTGTTTTTTTTAGAACTTTCTTGTTTACTTTGGAATTAGAATTTTTCAACTACATGTAAACATTGCCTATAATTGATACTTAAAGGACTTTTTAGTTGAAGAAAAATTAATAATACATATTTTATAGATGTATTCCAAAACATTGTAAACTGCATTGAAATTTTTTATCATTTGCTATTTTCTACATAGTTATATCATTTTATTTTATATAAACCTTGAAGGATAAAATATCATGTCCTAGTGCAAACTACTGTAAAACTGTCCAAGGGAGAACCCTGACTGTTTTGACTAATATCAATATGTACATAGAATTATTTTTAACAAGGAGTATGAAAATAAATGTGTTTTTTTTATGAACATAATTCAATACTTACGCGTAATCTTATGTTGTAAAAACTTCATCACAGAGTCACATGTTACTTCACATACCCCACACTTCAGCTGGTCCCCGTCTGTAATAATCGGAATAGTTGTTTATTTCAAAATACATGTATATTATAAATGTCAGTGATTTTTCTAATTCAATTGGGAAGAGGCCTTAGCTTCTAGATTTTGGGAAACTTATTGCTAAATTTGCTAATTTGGGAAGTAAAAAAAAAAAACAGCTTTAAGTTCAGATGTTTGTGAAAACTGCATGACTTTAAAGAAAATTTCAATTGGGAAGAGGCCTTTTATCAGAGTCTGCAATATAAGCAGGAAAATCACTGATATTATATCAGTAAATAATTGAAAATGAGGGATAATAGCAAACACATCAATTATGCATAAAATATTTTAAATCCTTACCAAGCAGAACACTTGCTGAATTGCTCTCATTTGTTGACATGCTTCAAATATGTATGTTCTCGATAATGATCTGCCAAACTAAGCAGTATGAGAATTTCCGGTCATGTTGCTGCACTATCAGGCCAACACTGCTTTAATATTTCATTCTTTGTTAGTTTTGTCTTTTGAACAGTTTTGTTTTCAGATAACAAATTTCAACTTTAATCACAAATTTCACTTTTAAAATATGTTTAAAATGTTACAAAATTTTATGTTTTACAACTTTATTCGCTTTTACTTGAATTTATTTCACATAATTAAAGAGAACTCATTAAAATGTTTTAACAAGTTCATTTAACAGTTGTGGTACAAATGGGGTGTTTACATTAAAGGGAAACAACTCAAAATAAGATTATTGTTATTCTCGTATAGTTCCGTACCTTACCGAACAATTTTCTTTTGGTGACATTCATTTTTATTGATATTTTTGGTGACAAATTTTCTTTGTGTTTCACCAGGAACGTTTATATATCATATCCTAACATATCACAGAGTAAGTGAATACTGCCCGTTGCTTGGTGCCGTAATGTAACCAGCAACTTGCAGCATCGGTGACACAGCATAGTTCCTTTTTTAAAATAATTTTATTGCACGAAATAGGTTATAAATATAAAATATACTATGGAATGCCGGTAGGGACCTGCCAATTTTCTTATTTGCTAATTGCCGATTTGCTTATTTGCCAATGGCTGATAGGTTTAACAACAAATCTGCTTATTTGCCAATTGCTGAGTTGCTAATTTGCTTATTTGTTAACCGCTGGTTACGTATTTGCTTATTTGCTAAATGGCAATAGTTTACACTGTGCCGGAAATATATGGAAAATCTGACAACAGACAACCAGTTGAGTCAAATCTGTTAACTTTTACTAAAAGTATTTTTGTAAATTCAGTGTTTTTCCAAGAATACTGTTGGTCAATGAATTTAGTTGCAGTGATGCCTACGCAAATATATGTCTACAACTGATGGCTGACATGTCGATCCTTGAGAACACAGCCGTTTTGAAAAAAAATTCATATTTCAACATCTATAATAATATTATTATTGATGTTTAAATATGAAATTTTTTCAAAACGGCTTATATTAAGCTTTTTTGATATATATGATCAGTACATGTGCTGGGATTGACAAATATGCATTTTATTTGGATTTTAAAAGCGTTTTGAGCTCCAAACCCCAAGTGTCTGTGGACCGAGCTGGGAGATCGATCTCAAATGTTTATAACCGCGAGTCCGTGCATGTCATGTCCGTTTTTGCAAACAAACAAAAAGGTGAGCGTTGCTCAAATTGCCCCATACGCGGCGATTTTTTTCACTGCACGAGTGAGTGTCGGGATAAATATATAATGTTCACATTTGACAAGACTTAGTGAGTCAAACATCCTGTTCGGTAAGCTGGTAAGCTCAATATAGGTTCAACTTTGGATTGTGAATCAGGCGACCCGGATTCGATTCCCGGACCGGGCAGGTCACTCTCGTTGTGATTGATCATGAAATTCTTTCTTAGGCCATTCGCAATGTACCTCTGCTCTGGCATGAACAGAAGATCAGTTCCTTTAGAAAGTGGAGGCAACAAGTATTAGTTAACTGCTTGCCAGCCTGACTGGCTGAGCTGCGCTCTGGTAAATTCAATGTGGCTTGCTGTCGTGATCCGGAGGTTATACTGCCCGCACTTCCACCGTGCAGTGCGTCAAACATACGTCGACAATGTATTTATGCCATGCGTCATTTAATTACGTTTTGGAACGAAATACTGAAATAATTGAGGCTCGCTTAAGAAAATATGAAACTGAAGATTGACGAATTTCTACATGCTTCGTTTTTACGGTGTTTCAAATATGGAAATTTGTCAGTAAAAATATATATGTAAAAATGCAGACCGACGGAAATTGTCACCATGTGTGATTTCATCGTAATAGTGTGTCAACTTTTCGAGATGTCGACTAAGTCCGGGAACTTTATTACAATACCTGTTTGTGTACGAAGGCAAATAATTTAATAATTTTAAAATGTAGAAAGCTTTTTTAAAAGATATAAAGCTTTCTGCATATCTTATGAAATATTCTGATAAAATTTATCAACTGCTACAGTAGAATAATACTGTTTCAATACTCTTATGTTCGATCACGGATTTTTATAAATCCGTGGTTCGATTAATGTAAAAAGTCTAACGCACATATAGATATTAACGTATTATCATGGAGCTAAATATAATATAAGATATTGTGTTAGATGTGGTATTACTAAACAAAATAGAATGTTCCGAAACAAAATATTATTCTGCTGTTACTTTGTATAAGTAGGGTTTTAATCGTTTGGCCTGGGACTTTGAATGATTTTGTGCATGTTCGTTCGCTTTAAAACAATTTACCACCGTATTTATTTCATACAAGCATTTTGAAGTTTCTTTTTTTTTAATTCGAATATTTTAATTTTTTTGTAGCGATACAGTCTCACATCGCAATTCCGTTTCGCACATTTTGGCTGCATTTTCAGGGATAAAATGCCGTTAAAATGTATATTCATTTCTGGTGAAATGCTGAAGATGTTTAATGTCGTTTAAGACGTTTCTTTTTTTTTAAAGAAAAACTTGATTCTGTAGATTAGTGTAAATAATCATGTATGTTAAAACTGGGACTAATAATGTAATTATGTGTATCTTTTTGTCCAAGGTTAAAATATATTACACAAATAGCTCGAATGTTAAAGTACATCTTTTGTTGTGAGTTACATTTGAGCCGCGTCACGACAAAACCAACATAATGGGTTTGCGACCAGCATGGATCCAGACCAGCCTGTGCATCTGCGCTGTCTGATCAGGATCCATGCTGTTCGCTTACAAACTGTATAACAAGTAGAGAAACTGATAGCGAACAGTATGGATTCTGATCAGACTGCGCGGATGCGCAGGCTGGTCTGGATCCATGCTTTTTTTTTTTTTTTGGAACCACGTTTAAGGCCCGTTTATTTTACATTTCCTTTTTACATAATACATTCATTTTACATATTTCAATTAATTATGTTACATAACATACGTTACAAACTAATATATATGTTGTTGTAGACATTTTAAATAATTTCAAAGAGCATATAAACGTGAATCTCTTTAAGAAAAAGTTAAGAAAAAGGATATTATATTTTTAACAAGATAAAGTTTTGTTAAATCAATTTTTAAAGATTTCCTTGAGTCAGTTGAAAAAATGCTGAAAAATTTGGGGAGGTGCTAAAATATAAAAGTATAATTTGCAAGAGAAAAAAGTGTAGTAAACAAAAACATATTTTTCCAACAAACTACGATAAGATAAAAAAAAAGGTAATATTAAGAAAGAAAGAAAGGCTGCTTTGGTAATATACTTCTGACATATCATCAATCAGTTCTTATAACATTATTAGAAAGTTATTCCATTTTCTGTTGAAATCATCAAGAGAATCATTTTGAAATGCTATGTATTTTTCTAAAGATATTCTATCAATCAATTTTCTTTTAAACACAAGATTATTTGGTAATTTCTTTTTTGTTTTACAACTATATATATAATATTTGGCAAATAAGAGAATATATGATAAAATTTTATTTTGTGAATGAAAAAAGGACAAAAAATTGTCTTGGGTTGCATGTATACCAATTTCTACCAACCATTTGAACAATTCATTCCAGAAAATTTGTGTTTGTTGACAGGTCCAAAATATATGTTCTATGCTATCTATTTCCATATTACAAAAATCACAAAGGCTAGATTCCACTAATTTACATCTAAAGAGAAATTTGTTAGTTGCAATATTTCTATGTAAGAAATCAAAATAAAAATTTTGCAAAATATTATCCTTACAAATATCAAACGCATTTAAATATATTTGTTGCCAATTGAAATTTTTATCTGGAAATTCTGCCTCCCATTTTAACTGGGATTTTAGTTTTTCATTCTGGTATTTTAGCCTTCTTTCTTTTTGAACCTGTGTTAATTTTTTATTTAGGAGATGTGTTTCTGTTTTTTCTAAAAAGCTCATAAATATTTATTTCCTCAGTTGTTACAGAAAGAATGATATTATCTAATTTTCTTTTCCAACATGTTGGAATTGAAGAGATAAGTCTATGGTAATTTAAAAACTCAGTATTAGGGATGTTATATTCAGTTTTTAATTGATTAAAAGTTTTAAATTTTTTTGCGTTTGTATCATAGATATCTTTTACATGGTATATATTTTTGTTTTTCCACTGTCTGAAATAGAGAAGGCTATTGTTATTTTTTATGTTTGAATTTTGCCAAATAATTTGTTCTGAAATATTTTTCGGATTTTCATTAAAATTGATTTCACTCCAAGCTACTAATACTTCGTGTATAAATTTATTTTTGATTTTAAATTTCAATATATCTTTTGTGTTTATATTGCATTTAAATAAAGATATTCCACCTAAATGATTAATATTTTTCTTTATTATTTCTTTCCATAACCCATTATTTGAATCGTTTATTATTCTTTTTATCCAGTTCGATTTTATTGAGTTCAAAAATATAGGAATGTCAATCATATTTAGACCTCCGTTTTTGTATTCCTGTATTATCACATCCCGTTTGACTTTATCCCTTTTTGAGCTCCATATAAATTCATAACATTGTTGTTTAATTGTATTTACAGTATTATTTGGAGGATTAGGTAGAACAGAAAACAGAAAAGTTAATTTTGGAATTATTAATGATTTCAATACTGAGATATTACCAATTGTTGTGAGATGTCTAGCTTTCCATCTGTTTATGTCTATTTGGAATTGAGATAATCTGTTATCATAATTTAATTTGAGGATATGGTCAGTTTTTGAATGAAATGTTATTCCTAGTGTTTTTACACTTTCTGATGTCCATGAAATATTACTATATTTTTTTCTACAATATATAAGGTCGTGCTGGTTTCGCAGTGGGCCTATTCTTAGAGCTGTACATTTACTGTAATTAAGATTTAGACCTGAGATGAATGAAAATTGTTCAAATATATTTAACATTTCTTTGTAGCTGTTATTTGTACCATCTAATAATATTGTTGCATCATCAGCAAACATGCTGTTTTTTACTTCTATATCAAATATTTTAAATCCTTTAATATTTGTATTCTCTCTTATTGCTATGGAGAGGAGTTCAATTGCTAAAATAAAAATGTAAGGAGATAAAGGACAGCCTTGTCGGACTCCTTGTCTGATATTAAATGAGTCCGACAAGAAACCATTGTAAAGAATACAACTTGTTGGATTTTTGTATAACAATTTTACCCACATTTTTAAATTTGGTCCAAAGTTAAATAGATCGAGGGTTTTTAAAATAAAATTATGATTCAAACTATCGAAAGCTTTTTCAAAATCAGCAAAAAATAATATTCCAGGTTTTTCGTTTTGTTCTGCGTACTCGATTACATCATATATCAATCTTATATTTTCACCAATGTATCTGCCTTTAATAAATCCAGTTTGGCTATTGTCGATCAAGTTATTTAGTACACGTTTAATTCTATTAGCAATTACTTTACTCAGTATTTTATAGTCAACGTTTAATAAACTTATTGGCCGCCAGTTTGAAAGAAGTGATAACTCTTTTTTTGGTTTTGGGATTAAGGTAATTAAACTCTGTGCCTGCAACTGACTTAAAGATTCGGTTTCGAATGAATAATTAAGAGAATTTATTAGATCTTTTTTAATTTCATTCCAAAACATTTTATAAAATTCAACGTTTATACCATCTGATCCAGGACTTTTCCCATTTTTCATGGTTTTAATTGCTTCGATACACTCTTCTTCTGTAATAATTCCTTCACATAATACTTGCTCGTTTTCGTTTAGTTTAGGGATTTTATTTTCATCATAAAAGTCATATGTTGAGTCTCTTTGCATCTTTTCACTGTACAGACTTTCATAATATTTTTTTTGCTCCTTTAGAATTTCATTTTGGTTTGACGTAACATTACCATTGACATTTAGATTATTAATAAGTTTTCTTTCAGCATTTCTAGTCTCTAAGTTTTTTAGCAATTTAATGTTTTTTTCACTGTTGTCTAATTTAAAACTTTTTATTCTTGTTATGATTCCATTGATATTTTCATTATTAAACTGTTCTTATTCTGATTTTTTTCAGTTCTTAATTTCTAATTAAATTTTCGTCAAAATTGCAGGCTATCTCAGTTTCAAGTTTTTCGATTTCTGTCGTAAGTTTTTGAATTTGTTCTGTTTCTGTTTTCTTTTTATATTTTGAAAATCGTATAATTTCATTTCGTATTGTACTTTTAATAACTTCCCATCTGACTAAAGGGTTGGTGTCTGTATTAAGAGAACGTATTTCAGTTATGGCATTTTTAATTCTGTCTTTAAATTCCATATTTAAAAGTAAACTATTGTTAAGTTTAAAAACACCAGGTCCTCTCACTATAGGATCAAAATTTAAAGTTACATATGCTATTGAGTGATCAGATTTAAAACTAGGCTTTATACCGGATTTTTCAACAATATTTACCAAATCATTTGAAACAACAAAATAATCTAATCTACACGCTATATTTAATATCCATTCTGATCGCAAACCCATTATGTTGGTTTTGTCGTGACGCGGCTCAAATTTTAATAAAGACTCGAGAAGACAATGTTAAACAAATATAAATTCATTCCAGCATCGACTTTACAATTTGTCAAAGATAAAAATCAATTTTATCTAATTGTTTCAGTCCATGTTAAAGCAAGTTTACCAGCATTACCACTTGACAAATCTCCGACAGTCGCTGTCACTTGTGCTCCACAAATATTTGCTAAGCTTCTGAAAAGCCACAACAATCCAAGAGATGTTTAAATTACCGCCAATTGTTATAGTGCCATAAAATTGATATTATTTTGTTTGACTTTCATTCTGTAACGAGAGATTTTGGTGCGTTGTTATTGTTGCTGTTGATGATAATGATGATGATAATGATGATGATGATGATGATAATGATGATGATGATGATGATAATAATTATAATAATAATAATAATAATAATAATAATAATAATAATAATAATGATAATAATAATAATAATAATAATAATAATAATAATAATAATGATAATAATAATAATAATAAAAATAATAATAATAGTAATTGTGATCATTCTAATATATTTCTTCTTCATATCATCATAGCCATCTTTTTTATAATCATCATCATCATCATCATCATCATCATCATAGCAGTTTTATCGCATTCAACAGATATATGAACATTGCTTTTCTTTGTAATATATTTATTGCGACTGAATGTAAAATGAAATATAGATTTTTGTGTTATTAGTTTACTAATGCAAGGGTCTCAGCCAAATCTATAAGACCGACCACTTGCTACTAGTATATTAACTTTATTTTCATTTTTTTATTATATATAGTAAGTAATAGAAAATTATGTCTCATCCAATTTTACTATAAACGAATATAGCCTGTTTTCCAGATATAACTCAGAATTATTTTAGATAATATGTTTAAGACTAACTAGTATACACAGCCATTAGTTCATAACTATATAAACAGATGTCTTCCTTCATTTTTACAGAGACATAGATAGTTATCTTTGTCTTTGATTTTTATGCGGTATACAATTCATTTCAAGATATAAATTTAAAAGGATTATCTTCATAACCGCACTTAAAATACGTTTCATTAACGATAATTTTACATTTATAATGTATTACATACGCCATTTCAATTCATGTTCCGATGTTTACATGTCCGTCATACGCTAAGTGTCAATAGATAGAACGATTTTTAAATAAATCTTTGTTGTTTATGAAATCATGTATATCATCAATATGTGACCGGCAATAAAATAAAATTTATGCAAATCCCTAGACACATTATCACAGTGTGTTATACGCGAGTTACCGATATGTCATCAAATAAATGGACATCTATTGCTGTTAACTGTACAATGAAATATCGTTTTTATATCAACAGTTTGTTATAATGTGATAAACCATCGCGTTCTGGCGTTCTGTCTTTGTTACAATACCACTTGATACTTTATCTGTCTCATTTTGATGGCAAGAATTTGATTTTTTTAGTATCGGTTAACAGTTGCTATAAAACATTTTGACGCGGCTTTTTAAATGTACTTTTAAACTACATACCAGTATGTGTATACATTGTTATTAACTTATATACATGCAATTAAAGAAATAATTGGATATTAATTGGATTTTCCAAGAACAAAATAGAAAAGAGGTGATATTTGAGAAACGATGCTGAATAGTAATAACGAATGAATACGAGAATATTAATAAACATTACTAATTGAATATCACACATGGACGACGAGTTTAGTTCCCGAAGAGTTAATGGACCATGCAGAAAGAAACTCACGAAGTCACGCGAGATTAACAATAAATTAAGGAAAACAAACATATTAGAAATCTTTTATTCCAAAGCAAATTTTTTAGTAATAAATCTTAGTTAATTTTCGTTATTCGCCACCATTGTTGTTGTTGTATTCTGGAATTATAGAGCCAGTGTTAAAGTTTTGTTGAAATTCTGTAGAAGACATCAATAAAGAAAGCACTGGTAATTTAGTTCTCTTGTTCGTGACTTTTCACGCGGGAATACCATGAATATATCTGTTAACAAATTACTATGAAAAAGGAATTAGTCAAGTTTCCAATACGGACTTTGAAGCCGTCTGTATCTAAAATATACTGGATGATTCTTACTAATCGATAACCTCTCTTGAATAGAATTGCACGTTTCCATGGAAACGTAACAGGTAACACACGTAAACTCTTCATTATGAAGTGAAAAAGACAAAATGACACTAATGAAAACCTGGAATATAGAAATGACAATACAGTTGCCGGTTTGATGAATAATGGCGGGCTTTTTTCCCACAATGTCGTCTGCCCACACGAAATAAAGGTTAGACATTTTTATTGAGATTACTATGAAATTAATATTGTATAAAGTAAATCAGAGTTCTACGATCATAGATAGCAATTAAGCAGGAAGAAGGGTTATCGAGATATTGCGAAACGTATGGAGTTCAATTTTGTCCATAAAATTAGATTGAATAATATTAAATTGTTATAATGCATATACATTTATAAACCACTTTACAAATTACATTGACTATTTTTGGCACTTTTGTCTTGAGAATGAAAATGGAAAGAAAGAGAGAGAAAAAACACATTATTTATAAATGTACTATAAGTTTCTACTTTGATCTTAAGCGCTTTTTAAGACTTGTACATCGCATATAGCAAGTCATTCTATATAATTATCATACATGTATATCGGAGCGTAAAATATAGAATTATTAAATCGACATAATATAAGAATAATGATCAGGTGAGTGAACGTGGCATTGTAACAATGAATTGAAACTTCACCTATAATCTGATGTTCAAAGCATCAAGCGATCTCACTCGGACAATTCATAAGGTTGGCACGAAAGCGCTTGATTAATAACATAATGTGATTTTATTCATCGATGTTTGCGTTGCCTTTATAGTTGAATTCCTAAGGGCAACTTTGATATGAATAGGAATAAAAAACGACTTAGCATAAAAATTATTATATTTTTATACTGTATATAAAAGGACCTTGATGTTTATTTGTATTCTATTGATTCCAATTTCTTTTTACTACAATAGATTCGCTGTATTCTAAAACGCGTAGTTAATCGTTCGTATAAACCGACCGACCAACCGACCGACCGACCAACCAAGTACCCGACCGATCAAGCGACCGACCAAGTGACAGACCGAGTGACCGACCGACCGAATTCTATAATGAAACTGTGTATATACAAATGGAACAAAAGTAACAGAAGTTAATTAAGTAACTAACCTAATTATATATTATCGCGAAAAAGGCACCGGGCAGCATATTTTAAACAGGTGAGAAATCAGTAGAAAAAAAAAACTTTTCTGCTGACGATTAAATATATACCTTTAATATACAAATGGACGCACCTATAAGTAAATAATTACTATTTTGGCCACAATTGAGGGATGAAAATGTTGAAGTTACAGGTCTAGCAATTAACATAATCAAAGGCTCGTGTTCATATAAACATAAAAATAGGATAAACATCAACTAACTCTATTCTCTAATGTATACTTTCACAATCAAGTTTAATTTTCAGAAAAATAAGAAGGTTATCGCAGCATCATGAATTTTTTTGAAAATGTATTGATGTTGACATTAAGTAGTTGCACAGCAAAGAACTTTTTTCTTTAAATTTCTGGATGGGAATACAAACTGAAAACACCATTTAATCCACATCAGGATTAACGGTAAGACCAACGACACATCAGAACATTAATAAAAGCACAGAAGACGCTTGTTTGTTTGTTTGCTTGTTCATTTTACGCTTTTTCCCAACAGTATTTCAGTCATATAGGCGGGTAGTTTCCTAACCATCGTTCCTGGAGAGTTACACCAGTACTAGACTACCTTCCTCCGCGCTAAACTACCAAAGCATCTCCCGGGGATCGAACCCACGCCAGAGAGGTCTGAATTTGTTTGGGTCTCAGAATGTCAGAAAGGTGAAGGTTGTGAGATTATAAACCAATTTGTTTTTGTATACATGTAGTTGTATATATGCTTTCCAGTGTTTTAACTGAAGTAAATTGGCTATAAGACTAACTGCAACACTGATATTCAATTCAATGTTTATTTGACTTAAAAATTAAAAATAGAAATGAGTTGCCTTAACTGAGATTTTAACTCCAGACCTATCGATTCCTAAGCCAGCGTGCAAACCCCTCGGCCACGGTGAAGTTATATGTTAACGGCCTGAAGAAAACCATATTATTCTAAATTAGGGTTTGTAACTCTTATTATTTCGACGCTAAACCTGTTGTTTAACACAGATGTAAATAATCATGGAGCTTATTATAAGCATGTATATCTATTAAGAATAAAACAATTTTAGAAATCTTCGACAATTCGGGAACTATTTTGCTTGAAAATTAATGCGCCTGTCATTTGACAATCTTTACGCAGTGATCTCCCCTGAATTTTTTCGGCGTTAGTGTACATATAAAGGGACGTAACCGCTTCAAAAAAGCGGTCTTATTTCAGCATTTGCAATTAACAGCATCATGATCTGAAATTTCGCTACCATTATTTGTTTGGTCTGACGACCCAAACAAATAAAAACAACACTTAAAATACAGTTTTTATCTTTAAAAAATCACCATTTTATGTCATAATATACATACTGCTGTAGTGACCACTTGACATATCAGCAAATAAATAATTAGGAAAGAATAGCTTTGAATTTTAATCCTGAACTTGATTATATCAGAAATAGAAGTCTCAAAAGAAGGAAGAAGAAAATTGATTGAAGATTTTTATTGATAATTCAAAGATTAATGATAATTCAAAGTTTAATGATAATTTAAAGTTTGATGATAACTTAAAGTTTAATGATAATTTAAAGTTTAATGATAATCTAAAGTTTAATGATAATTTAAAGCGAATTGGAACATAATTTCAGGTCTGTAATACCACCATTAATTATGTTGATAGTATAAGTATCATACGTGATAATTAACCACAAAGAAATTGTATATGAAATGTTGTTGGTTAGTGTGACATAATATGACATCTATAAATAGCAGATAAATGTTCATTTTATATTTGAGCCGTGTCACGACAAAACCAACATAATGGGTTTGCGACCAGCATGGATCCATGCTGTTCGCTATCAGTTTCTCTACTTGTTTTAGGGTTAGTAAGCGAACAGCATGGATCCTGATCAGACTGCGCGGATGCGCAGGCTGGTCTGGATCCAAGCTGGTCGCAAACCCATTATGTTGGTTTTGTCGTGGCACGGCTCATTTGTGTGTATGTATATAATTATGTGATAATTGTATATGTGTGTATGCATATGTATATGTGTGTATGTATATGTATGTTGTTTCACGAAATCGTTCTTATTATTTTATCAATTATGTCAAAATATAATTATGTGTATCTTAATTTACTTTTATTAATGTCTTGTAGATATTGTACAACGCCATTGAATATGTTTTATACGTAGAAATAGGCGTTTAATCAATTTATCAAATTTCAAGTTAAATCACTTAGCACTTTATAAACATTTCGTGTTTTTTTTTTCAATAAAGATTTTAAAAAAAATATCCAAACGATAAATTTTTTATCGGCTTTTATCAATATTTTGAAATACTTATATGCCCCCATAGTAGACCGATCCACTTTAATAAAACAAGGTAATTAATGCTGGTAATCCAAATGAAACTGATATGTTGCTTTTAGATTTAGTGTACTAATTTGATACTAAAGTGCATGTCCTTATATCCGTTGTTTGTTTAATATAGTGAATTCTCCTGGTTACTGATTGCATTTTATTGCTTAAACGCCCATGTTGTTTCTATATAAAAGCATGGAATCTAATTGTCAGGAACTTGTAGTAAAAAGCTATACAATTTTCGTCAATAAAATGAGAGCCCTGTTTGTACTGACACATTGATATCATTTAATGTTTAGTTTCTAGCGTGTTAAAGGTCCATTATGCCTCAGATATACTATCATTTTTATTTCTCAAAAACATTTTATGTTTGGTATTTTGTTACAGTTTTCGAAACATTACTCATTCGCCACATATATTTGCTTCTTTTGTGCTACATTAGCTATTGGGTATATTCATAGTGAATTTGCATTTTGTATGGAAGTTCAAAATACTACTTTGTTTAGAATTTGCTACCTTTGTGGCGCATTACTGCACGTTCAACTCTACTATCTTCATGTGTTAAACATCTAACATACTCTAATTCTATTATTTTTAAACACAACAGCCTTTATGACATTTCTAAAGAATTTTAAAACATATATGGATTTCTTATTAATTAGGCATGATGAGCCTTTAAAAGTTCTGAGACATAGTGCACCTTTAAATAAAGTACAAAAAGGGATAATCCTCTCATTTTCTTATTATTAATTGATGTCTGTAACTCTTTTATTCTGTTACTTAAGCACCATTAAGTTGTGTGACTATGTCAATGTGACACGAAAACTTCAGCGAAAAACTCAGATACTGTTTCGTGTATTGTTTCAAACATGAGCAAGCACCTGAGTAGAATTACCGGTCTTTTATGTGGGACACAGTACGTGTGGCAATACCACGTGACGTTGACGTCATTTTCGGCATCATTTCCAAGACAAATGTTGCTAGATTCGGAAAAGAAAATAGCTGTAAATATTTTGGGATAGCTTAAAGTCACTGGCAGGATTCGAACCCGTGCTTTATTTCACACAAGTACATGCATATGAAAAGAACCGTAAGGGTTTCCTAAAACTAGACGGATGACTTCCGCACAAACACATTAAAAAGTCTACAGCCGTTGGCGGGATCAAATCCACACCGAATAGGGAATCATGATTTGTCCATGTTTATTCAGTTTTAATATTGTATCCACGTATTAATGTATTCAGTTATCTCATTTTGATAAATACAAAATCACAATACCCATTTTCAGGCTGATATCAGATAAAAATGTTCGTTCAAGAAATATGTGAAGAGTGACCATCTGCCACTGTCACCGAAGGTGTCTTATCTACTTTAAGAAGCCGTCCTTATCATCCATTGGAAGACGGAATAAACCACACTCAACAATGTGTGACCAACATAAGTCCCCGAGCAGGAACACTAACAGAAGCAATAAAAGTGATAGCAAAACACCACTTATACAGGTGATTAACGTTTTTGTTGTTGTTTTTTCTCAAGAATAACGCTTGTTTTAACCAGATGTTTCAGGGATTGCAAAACGTAAATGGAATTACAAACCATGATATTGTTTCAGTTTCTTACATGAAAAACTACAGGATAATTGTTTTTGATATAAGAACACTTTAAGGATACTTGATCTATGCAAGGAGACAAAATTCATTTATATATGCAACTATAGTCACTAGTTTATGGACAAGACTCGATGTGGTCAATAGAGCGAAATTGTTCGAACTTGGACAAAATGGCGGCACTGTCGTCAAACAAGATCGCCTGTGCTCTATTTACGTCCGCGTGAGTTTTTATAATATTTATAATTGTGTATGTGTCTGAATAAAAAAAGTCACGTACAAAATGTAAATATTTTGAGGTCTGACACTTGACGATTTTTGTCCGTGTTTTTATTGCTTATTTATTCAATCGACAAATTTCAAATGTAAACTTCACATTGGATCGAAAGTCCTCTGAATTTTTGAATCGTGTTTATTTTCTTTTAAAATAATTATACACTGTTTAATATGTAACTCTTGTTTGTTTCTTTAATATGCAAAGTGTAAAGAAACTATCATACGGGTTCTCGGATTTGAGTCACATCTGAAGCAATACAAGTTACTGTAGTAATTAAAGCAGAAAATGGAACTAGCAAACGCCTGCAGATGCATGTGAAGTCAGACAGTGTACGTTACCAATAGATAACCTCCCGAAATCTCTTCATTGAAACCAAACTGTATACAAATACTTTAAATAAAAAACCCAACTTTACCCATCAATATCAAAACGTTTTTTTTCTTAACAAGGTGACTGAAGTATTCCACCCTGATGACACAGACGCTGACAATGTTGTAAGTCCACGCCGTCTAAACCGCACTGATATCCCAACTATTGGTATCGACAATCTGTCCTTTGATCCGTGTGAAGACCATTTACAACATGTACATGAAGACTATCAGAACCAAAGGGAACTTGCCGATGTTCACACGCCCCTTCCAAACGTTCCATTTGTGTTTGCTTCTAACAGAAGGGGGAGTAACTCTAATGTGTTTGTGTTTGATCCAGACTGTGTTAGCTTATATTCTAGAAGAGGAAGTGGTACATCACGGAGAGGTAGTGCCACGGCTGGTATTGATAAATCAAGTCTAGCTGTTCCAACTTTAAGACGTAAGTAAAAATGTCTTAAATTTATATTAAATCTCCCTTTCCATGGACACTTTTGTTTGCGTGTAGAATGTTTCATAAAATTAGATCTTTACAAATTTGAGACCTTTTGCCTGCAGTTTTTGCAATTTTCAAACAACATTTCCAACCGTTTTAAATTGCAAAAAAAATGTATTAACTGTTATGTTGCACGGTAGACAGTTTATATATATTTTGTTGACCAAAATAACAACCGGCATCACTTTTTCTTACCAGCCACGACTACGTCTACGCCGATGGATGTTACTAGTATATTTCCGATCCTTAAAGATTGTTCAGCACGACATAATTGTTGTACTTGTGTGTTATTTTAGTTTTTTTCTATTCGGCATCTTTCTTATTGGGTGGTTCCAGTATTCCTAACTTGAATACTGTTGAATCACCCTTAGGATATGTGGCCTGCTTTTTAAATTTGTCTTTTGACGTCATATCTGTGATATGCAGGCTTCATAACCTTAGATCCCCTTTCAAAATTCCATTTTCGCCCATTGTTTTCTCGTTTAGGGCACATGCATTTTTTTACTTGGGGACCATATGCCGCTTTTCATGGAATGGCACTAATGTGTCACATTGAAGGTTTTATGATAACCGCCATATGAACACATTTGCGTTCTAAATTTTACCAGTTCATTTTATATGTTTAATTCTGCTAAAGACGGTGATAAGGGGCGTGGACGGTAGTTTGCACTTTACAGTACCGTTCATGATCAGGCTCAGTCAATCCGAGATTGCCACATTGTCAATTTTGCCGTGTTGGACTTTCTTTACGGATTCTTATTTCTCTCTATTTTATTTGACAAAGACCACACATTTACGACTGCAAGGACGACTTTGACCACAATGATTCCGAACACGACTATGACTCAAATTGCTTGATTTTATTGCCGAGAACTTTAAGCGTAATTTGTACAAACACGAATTTATTGAAATTTAAAGAATATGAATACGGCAATTTCAATAGCAAATAAAACGTCCTTTTTTATTCTAGTGGTCTTTATATATACACAAGGGAAACAACTATGTAGAAAATGAAACTGTCAACAAAATATCAAAGTTACTAAAAAAATATTTCTAATAGATCTGTCAAGTGTATTAAAGACATTAATACACGTCACAGACGGGTCTGAAAGTGATAATCGGACCTTAAATGAATAAGCCCATCGGGCTAAAGCCTGCGGCCCTCACGCCATTATGCACATTTTCGGGCCATTATCGCTTAATGGCGTACAATGTGTTAACCTCTAAATATACGTCGTACGCTATTTACGTCGTAAGCCGACGTAAACTACATTCATCGTAAGCTGCATGCGTTGTAGGCTACATACGTCGTAAGCTACATACGCCGTAAGCTGTAAACGTCGTAAGCTGTATACGACGTAAGCTACATACGTCGTAAGCTGTATACGTTGTAAGCTGTATACGTTGTAAGCTGTATACGTTGTAAGCTGTTCGCGTTGTAAGCTGTAAACGTCGTAAGCTGTAAACGTCGTAAGCTATATACGTTGTAAGCTACAGACGTCGTAGGCTACATTCGTCGTAAGCTGTAGATGTTGTAAGCTGTAAACGTCGTAAGCTGTATACGTCGTAGGCTACATTCGTCGTAAGCTGTAGATGTTGTAAGCTGTAAACGTCGTAAGCTGTATACGTCGTAGGCTACATTCGTCGTAAGCTGTAGATGTTGTAAGCTGTAAATGTCGTAAGCTGTATACGTCGTAGGCTACATTCGTCGTAAGCTGTAGATGTTGTAAGCTGTAAACGTCGTAAGCTGTATACGTCGTAGGCTACATTCGTCGTAAGCTGTAGATGTTGTAAGCTGTAAACGTCGTAAGCTGTATACGTCGTAGGCTACATTCGTCGTAAGCTGTAGATGTTGTAAGCTGTAAACGTCGTAAGCTGTATACGTCGTAGGCTACATTCGTCGTAAGCTGTATACATTGTTAGCTGTAAACGTCGTAAGCTGTATACGTCGTCAGCTACATATGCCGTAAGCTGTATGCGTTGTAAGCAACATACGTCGTAAGCTATATACGTCGTAAGCTACATACGTTGTAAGCTATATACGTCGTAAGCTACATACGTTGTAAGCTTTATACGTTGCAACATTGCTTGTCTAGTCGCTCCTTTATTGTAATGTGAGCAATTTTCTAACTCAAGCATACTCTCTTGCGCATCGGTCGAATTTTCCACAAACGTTCATTTTCTTAACGGTAGTGTATTTAATTAGCTGCCAAGGGAGCGTAGCGCAAGCATAGGTTGCTTTTGCACAAGTGTTATAGTGTTTCTTAACATAAAGTATTTGTGCATTGGATTTGAAACTTAAGAGATTTCAATATCAAAATACAAGTTTTGAGCTTTTAACAGAAAAGAGTCAAGTCAAACTGCACGGTGGTGCAGGGTGTCATGGCGCTATACAGACATGCGGTTCCGGCAATTTGGGGTGAATGTCCTTTTTAAATGTAATGTTATTATGAAGGACAGCATATGACAAAGTTATGCATACAATTTAAAAAAGAAGTAAATCTCAAGTTAGACTCGAGTTTCATATGTCGTTGATTTTGCACGGAACATCTTGTCCAAATTATGTTTGTTTGGTTAGCTTTACGGCGATTTGTAATATAATTTTGGTCGAGCTTTCCTGACTAACTTACAAGTTATTATTGAATTGTCCAAAAGCAACCGGCTAATAATTTCACAAGATTGACAGACAAATGCATTTTATACCCAATATCCGGTTGTGACGAAAAGGGCAGGACAGTTGTGCGAGAACTGAAAATCATTTACCAAGAACAGTAAATCAGACCAAATTTATTCAACTGTTCCGTCCGTGTTATCCTCCTTATACATTTAAAAAAATATATACTCTATTAAGCTACACTTGCATTTGGTTGAAGAATTATATTCTCTTTACTACTTATTGCCTATAGAGGAATAATGTATAATTTTTTAAGTATTTAGATGTTTTTTCTCTTCATCGTATTATTTAAGATATAATTATATTTAAGACTTTCGAAGTACAAGTATACAGTAAAGCAAAATGATTTATGCCTTCATTGTCATTAAATCGAGTTCTTTTAAAAGTACGTTTTCAACATTCGTCAAGAAAATGTTATATATCATATGTAATTAAAAGCTTATAGAACTGTAATGCACAATTCAAATAGTCCCCGAGATTTGAACATCTGTTACAAGCATGTATGGAGTCGTGTGTTGTCGTTTCAAAAGAGAAAACGATCAATACCTACATATACTGGAAGCAATATACATTATGTATATTTAGTGACATCGTTCATATTGATTTGTATATCGCACAAAAATTTGATTCAGATTGTTATTAAATTTCATTATATTTATAGGCAATTAATTAGACACTGATCATATGATACTGTCAAGTTGATGATTAAGGTTATAAAGTTCTTTGCTCAATGTGAAATGGAGAATATGGCGTACAATGAGGGTCAAAAGTATAATATCAGTTAAAAAGAGAAAAAATGTTTAAAAATGTTATTTCATCCTTTCATTATTTGAATTTCGCTTACCATTTTTTTTTATTTTCTTGAAAAACGCTGGTAGATATTCTGTATCTGCAACATGTCAAGCTTCCGGTCGATTTATCTTTATTTATCGTGTCCTTAAAGGTCATACAGGGAAATGCGAAATGTTCGAATTATTTTACAATGCAGGTGATATATATATATATATATATATAATATATATATATATATATATATATATATATATATATATATATATATATATATATATATATATATATATATATATATATATATATATATATATATATATATATATATATAACAACAATGTACATATATATTTGTATAAGTGTTTTCTACTACGGCGTCGGACTAGTATTCTCAGTATGCTTGCCGCGTGGGTTCAAACCCCATTAGGAGCAGGCCATTGTTTCCTTTAGCAAGAATCTTTACACTGAGCAAATTGGCTCCATGAACAGATGCGAGAGTTTGTCTATAAGCTTACAGCTACACAAACGACCTAAAATATATTCTGTGTAAAATAAAGACTTGTTATAATTGAGTTTTACTATCATAAGTATGTTTATTTATTTATTTATTTATTTATTTATTTATTTATTTATTTATTTATTTATTTATTTATTTATTTATTTATTTATTTATTTATTTATTATTCTTTTCCACTTTGATCAGCTTTTAATTAAATACATGTATATTGTATAAACTAAAGCCGTCCATATGGCACATACGTCGAAAATAACAGGGACGGCATAAGCCGTCCCTATGTCAGTGAAAGGGTTAAGCAAATTTTCTTTAAAAAAAAAAAATGGAAATTGCTCCATTAATTGGGAGAAATCAAAGTTTTTTTTACCTGATTTGACTTGTTAGCACAGTCGTTGATATTATTAGTTATAAAGATCATTGACAGCTTATATGGCCCTTTATAAACGGCTATTTGTAAATATAACCCGAGCCGCTAGGCGAGGGTTATATTGCAAATAGCCGCTTATATACGGCCATATACCCTGTCAACAATCTCTATAACGAATTTATAATACAATACGCATCATTTTTTAGTGAAAAAGTAAGATTTTCTTCACAAATCGACAGCAACCGTGTATATAAAACTATATAAACGTCACGATTATCCAATGAAAAGTGACGTTACAAACGTGCAGTATTATAAAGTTTATACGATTATCAACGTGAAGTATTATAAATAACGTACTCACATGTAGAGAACGTGTTTATTATATCACAATCTAATATTGTCATATATACAGTGTAACTTCTGAAAACCGAACACTTGTGGGACTAGCCAAAAAGTTCGGAATTTGGAAGTTTCCGGAATTCAGAAGTTCGAAATTATCTGAACAAGTAACATTGAACATCAAATGATAAATGATATAGGAACTTTATAAATTCACAAAATGGCAAAATTGTATGACTTTTTAAAAGTTATATTACTAC